GCCGTACACACACATAGGTAAACCAGTAACTGGTGAATTAGAAAATCTTTGCAGGTCTTGTAAAAGTCCAGACGAGGCTAGCATACCACTGTCTCTACGTTTTCCTTCTACTGGACCATATAAATGACCAACCAGCCCATTAGGCAACTAAACGCTACTGACTGGAATTTTATGGAATGTACTCTTTTATGTCCACTATAAATGGCTCTCTGATTTTCTCCTGGCCTACCCACTGACCGCATTGTTCCATCAATAACACCCCAGCAGTTTTCCAAAGCTGTGCCTGATCGACATATCGCATCAGATTTGCCGGGGTAAAGCAGATCAAGATTATACCTTGAGAGTAAGTGATGCCATCGGTTGTAGACCCAGTCAATCATGTGGTTTGTAATAATACAAAGCTCCAGAACAGGTCTAGCAAAGTGAGAAACCATGTCTTCGTAACGGCAAGGATAGGTAAAGCGCTTGAGATAGATACATAAAGCAGGAATCGATCCAACTGCTAGGCCGTTATAAGTAACAATCTCATCTTATAATATAAGATATAAGTCGTTTTTGTAAAATCGGAATTTAGCTTTGTACTGGTCATTTCCCACCTCGTTTAAATCGAATCGGTCCTACTTCCAATATGGAAAGTCCGGGTTTTTTGAAGTATCGGCATCATGTAGCAAAACAAACTGCCTGTCGTTCATAAATCCTTTTCTGTAGGCATATGCGATACACTCTGTGTTCTCCCTGAAGCTCGGCATTTTAATCAACACGTTGATAAAACTAGTCTAAAGAAAAAAAAAATGTCAGTCTTCGAGTTAAATTTGGCGGGAAATCTCCGCGTCGACGTCCGCAACTTGTAAGCTAAATTTGGCGCGCAATGGCAAACGTCGACGACAAAGTCGATGGCGTCACATAAAGATACAGCATCAGCTTCTTATTGCCCCCGCAGGGATTTGGCCCAGAAGGCGAAATCCCGAGGAGGCACTCTAATAACTCGCGCGTTTATTAAGGAAAGTATTTACAGTTGAAATATACAGTCATACAGTCAATATAGAAAAAATCTCGATTTGCTTGAACAGGGGCCGCGAGGAATCGGTAGATAATGATGACGCTTCTATTGTTTGCGCCCGCAAGTACGAAATGGTTAGGATGACGTAAAGACAGAACTTCCCCAAGGGACCGCTTAGGTAGATTTTGTGACATTTACTGTGCAGTCATACTTCGACACTCTTTTGCGTTACGTGTTATCAGTGACATTGGTGGAGCAGTTGTTTCAGTGCAAGTTATGGACCAAAATTTTAACGACACTCGTTAAGCGCGAAAGAAGTTATAAGATGCGTATAACTGTGTATATATAAACTCTTGGAGAGTTTGCCAGACACGAGTTCACAAATCTTTCACTGGAAACCTTGCCAGACATTCTTTCTCTCTCTTTGACCGGAATAAGACTCAGCCCCAAACGAGCAAGACGAGTGAACAACGGCTAGCTTCTCACTAGCAGAACAATGGACGATTACAGAAATTCGCCCACAGTAAAATTCTGTGCTGACTAATTCCCTGCTCACAGATGTCCATTCGCTATAAAGTTTAATTTCTAAGGCTTCCTTTCCGGCAAATAAAATGAACTGAATGTAAAAAAGTGAAAGAGAAATAGAGAAAAATTCAACTTCTAATTGGTTTAGAATAAGCTGTTCTCGAGACTGAAAATGTTTTGATCAAAGCTGTGTAAATCGACCTGTGCATGGAACCTTGCGTTTCCTGTATTTATCTCACCTATTGTATGGAATATGTGTGAAAATCTTCGTTATGAATCGGTAGAGCTACACAACGAGCAAGAATGCTATTGAGCGACAATAAACAGAGCGGGAACAGCTTTAGTGTCAACTATTACTAGTTTAAAAAAAAAAAAAAAAAGAAAAACTAACAACTAATGGAAGCCCAGACGACGATCGAATAGTATCCCATGATGCACCTCTTTTCATGTTATATTATCACTGCGTACGTGACATATCATGATCAGTATTCTACAGTACGCGCGAAATGAACATCGCAGTGCTCGAGGTGGATGGTTTCCAAACATGTTTCGGTTCAGCAGCTTCTGCTTTTGCGAATATCGAGTTAGCCTATATTGACGGTGCTTTAAAGGAGAATTTCTACGTTAATTTGAAGGGGTTTGCACGCATGTGTTTCACTGATCTGTCGAGAACTACTTGTGCGCTCGGTCGCAACTAAAGACAAAGTATAAGACTCGACAATTGATAAGGTTCACTAGGAAAATCGAAACCATAACTGATTTAGAAAGTGGCTCCAACAAAAAGCTGCGACGCTATAAAGCTAATTATTATATGAGGATATATTACAGCATTGCGCTCAAAGGAGCTCTCTTGCAGTTTACAATGGTAGTTAAAAATAAAATTTAACCTATCGATGCGACAAACAAGCCTCTGAAGCACAGTCTGCCCTGTTTTGACTCAAACAATCTTCAAGGAAATTTCTTGGCCAGACTTTTGAATAAATATAGTTGCTGACGTTTCAAATTCCGAGCAGACTCGTTGAACGTTGTGCCGCTTGCGTACTGCGTTGCAACTTTCTTTGGGTTTCTATCACACTGAAACACACCATTATCCACCGCTCCTTAGTAATTAAAACAATTATAGTCAAATTCCATTTAAAAATAACCACTTTGAAAATGCTAAGCGATTGCTTCGGTATAAAGCGCTCTCGAAAGCGCCCAACAGATTGTAGCCTTCGGCAGGTTATACACATATATTATCCAAAATGCGTTCAAATGTGATAAAAGATACGAAACTTTAGCCATCCAGTTTGGTCGATAGAAAAGCCTTCAAAATGTGGGTACTTCTGGGCACTTCTTAGCCTGTATAATATTCAGGACTTCATTCTGCTTAAGGCCCACATTTGGAAGACTTCATCATATAATTCCAAAAAAACGTAGATATCCATTACTTCCGTATGGTTAATCTGCAGCAAAAAAAAAAAAAAAAATATATATATATATATATTTATTATATAAACACCAATGAAATATATACCAACTGAGTTTTCGCGCGAAAACTTGAAATCTTCACATGTGAAAATACATTGCAATGGCTTCAGAATAAACCGCACCTTTCAGACCAAAAAACCATTTAAGTAAAATGGTTTGGCATTTCATTAGTGTTTATATAATAAATAGAATAGTACATGGTCGCTTGGAGATACGAAATTTCTCTTCTCGAAGAGAAATTTCGTATCTCCATGCGACCATGCAATATCCTCTATGTATTGGAATAGAATAGAATATAACAATTCTTTATTTAAACACGGTAAAATTCATCAGAAGTGTAGGAAAAAAAATGGATGTAAGAAAATGACTGTTGAGAGCTATATTTGTCAACATCTCCGATTCAGTGATGTTTACGCTTATGTCAAAGGAACACGAATACCCTCAATTGACCAATTGCTCGTTGAACAATATGACCCACGATATGGCTTTTAAGGATAAACAAGACTTGACCGACGAAAACCGGAACTTTGAAAATTTCCCACACAAGTTCATCCTATAGCCTTAATGACGAGAGGGAAAATAAGCGGCGAAATTTCGAGAACTACAGAAATACAGAAGGCTATGCTGTATCTGAAGTGACAAAATATATGCTCGAAAGATTCTTTTGCCAACTCCTAGACAGCAAACGCAAAGAGGAGACTGGATTATTTTCAACTGAAAACTTAATAAGCGACCCTTCGAAAAAGAGCCCCCATCTCAACCCAGAAAATTAAAACCAAGTGCCCCAGGCAGTTTAAGTTCGAGCGCATATATTAGCATTTTACAGTGTGTGTAATTATAAAAAAAAAAAGAAAAAAAATGCGATTAACGAGTTTATTTTTGTAACAAATCGCGTTTGTGTTAAGTGTAACAATTAAATAAACGGTTCCCCAATTTAAGTCACGATGAATAGTCCAGTAAGAATAATATCAGATGAAGAACCTCACATCAGATAGCTTATCTGTGTTAAAATTAGAGAAGACACTTTTCCTCAAGAATCTCTCCATCCCAATTTGTTTTCAACATATCGTAGGACTGAAACGCAAGTAACCTTACTTGATCTGTTGCACTAATAAACACTTAAGACATGAACAATATATCAATATCGCTCTTGAACTTTATCTTGGAAACAGTTTGACCCCAGTCTTCAGAGCGTTCAGTCTGAAATTCTTACTGGTCATTATAATTTACTTCAATGAAAGGTGTTAATAGTGTATACTATTTACTGTATGAAGCTGCAGATTATTCAGCAGCATTTGTTGTGGTCTTTTAACATTGAGATTTTGATAAACTGCTAAACAAAACAATAGATATTTATCATATTGGGTTTTCAGAACATCAGCTATTTATGTCTTTCCCAAATACGCCGCCTACGTTTCTTATATTTATAGCCAGTTGCTAGCGAGAAATTACGAAATCGAGAACGGTTAATGAACTATTAGAGTAAGCTGTATGTTGTGGGTAGAAATTTATATTTGTTTGCCAGATGCATTTAACACTCATTTATTGGCTTCTTATTAAAATGTTGTTGGGTTAAACTAGAAGGCCATATTTGTTCACGCATGACATCTGACTCGCTAACTACTGACCTTTACATTTTTGGACAAAAATCTTTGACTTTTTCCAGAAATTTAACTTTCGTTAAAAAGCAGTATTGTGAGATCTTGTTCATTGCAATGAAAATGGCTATGCTGTCTTCTACGTCAGCTGCATTTTGCTGCACACTATAGGTATAGAGTGACATATGCGCTTAATGTATTCATTCATTTTCTATTATCTGATTAAAGCAACTAAACCTTTCAGTCAGATTATCCCCTGAAAACAATTTAAGTGACGAGTGCAATATAGTATGGCATACAAGTATTGTCTTTCAGATATGCAATAGTAATGGATCCAGAAAGTGAATAAATGGGAGTGACGATTGTGATTATTCAATGTGCCCTGCAGCAGCCCTGAAGCTGTAGCCATGGGGTTGGAAATCTGGATTGCAGCAGTTTTACTGTTGGGTACAGCTGTTGAAAAATATCAAGGTAAGTTAACCATTCAAAAGACATTGTAAGTGATTTTTTTTTCCGTCCAAATTTGATCCTGTGTACGTTGAGGTGACTGCAGGGGAAAACGTTATTAGCGTCTAATCGGACATCTCCAGACTGATCTTCAAGTTATTCTAGCGAGAAGTTAAACACTTTTTAGACATCAAAACTCGTAGCCCGTATCAAAAACAAAGAGAAGTAAACAGTTAAAATGTCACTCAGTTATGAAAAAGGTTGGAAAAAGTACAGCAAAATGTTATTAAAAATAATGATACAAAATAAAATACATATAATGGCCGTTTTTCTCAGAGCTAAGTAAAATTTTAAGACACGATAAACGTTTACGCCGTCCAGCAACTTAGTCTTGATTATGGTTTTAAATAAACGGTTTGTTAATTTGCGTTTACTTTATTCTTTATGCAGCGTCACCCGTCATTGTAAAAGGTGAGCGAAGTAAAAGTCCTATAAAATGTACATTGTACGATACCTTAAACATTATATGGCATGCATAATGTATTCATGGCGAGTCGACCACAAATGTAAGAATACATTTACTTTTATTATGTTTCCGTGCAATGCCTTCCTCTTCTTCTTCTTCTTCTTCTTCTTCTTCTTCTTCTTCTTCTTCTGCATACGGCTTATGGCGTCGAAGAAATTAAGATCTACAATGAAGATGTGCCACCTCCCCTCTGACGTTTTTAGTAGCTGTTCGTTCATCCCTCGCACACATTTTGAGACAGGTTTAGTGATGGTCACTTGCTATGGTTACGAGATATGACGTAACAAGTACCAGGTAGTCAAGCCAATTTTGGGTGAAAATACATGTTTTTTCAGCTTCTTTCAACAATAAGTAAATTTTATGTCTTTTTTTCAATGAACATGGCGTTAGTGCTGATAATTAGTAGAAGACTGCTTATGGTCTATTTCAGTTTTAACTTACACCATCCACAAGTGAACGGAAATTCCAGGACTACCATATTAGTAGACAAGCAAGATTCAGCTGTAAATGAATGGATTTCTGTTCACTTAAATGTGTCGCAGTTTTTTTATTTATTTATTTGTATTTATATTTATTGGGTTCGTTTTTATCTTGTTAGATTATGAAACTGATGACGAAGCAAAAGGACTGTTAGACGATTCAGAAGAAAATGGTAAAAACAATTGAACTACAACTACAATTACTTTTAGGGATGTTTTATGTACACCCGGTGTCAAAACACGTGCTAGTGTGTTTATTTCAGTACGATTGCCTAATGATAATGCACTCTCTTTTTAAAACGTGTTGAAGGAATAATTTCAAACAAAGTCAGTAAAAGCAACAACAACAACAGCAATGTTGGTCAGTTAAGTGCTACTTTCGATTGCAATACGGCAATCTAAATGAAAGAAATTTCCACAGCTGATAACCGCACAAGAGGAAAAAAATGCTTTAGAGTGAAGCTAAACTAATTGCAATGCGACCAAATGTTTTCTACTTTATTGCAAACTATTAAAAATTTGATCATTTGCACCCATCACGCCAGCTCATGTGTGAAACGGTAACAGTCGTGTCTTGGTATGGACTGGTGTAAAAAAAAAAAAAAATTATGAAATAAATAAATAAATAAGTAAATAATGATAAAAATAGAATATAAGGTAACTTTTGACTAGTCGCTGTTTTTTTTCGATTTAGGCAAACATTTCTCCTCCTCTGTTTTCAATGTTAAATCTTTATCTTCAGTCCTAATCAGCTTTCAATTGTTTCAGTACTTCAATCCCGTTTTTACCCTTTAATTAACAAGTATTCTTCAATTTGTATACCTCGTCATAACCTGCTTAATACTAATACTCATCCGTATTGTTAGCGGAGAAATACTATGTTTTGCATTGGATATTTTCTGTCATTGCCGGCTAGATGCCACTAAATCGAGAAACGGGCAGTGGGGAACGAGCACTAGGAACGGGAATATGAGAGAGAATGGGAACTGAAGTTATTGATAGGGCTAGGGTTCAAGTCAATTTTTCTTGTTTCCTGTTCGATGTGCACGTGCCACTGTCCTCTTCCCCTTTAATTTTTGTAACATCGTCTGTCAATGCCTTCTGTTTGTTGCTACTTATTGATTGCTCCGATTGTCTTTTTAGGCGAACTTAAGGAAGTTAAAGATGAAGAAGGTAACTGAATGCTGTTTTACTATCATTTTATGAGAAAAACAATGAAATATTCAATCCAATTGCTGTCATGTTTTTTTTTTGTGTTTGTTTTAATTGTAACATCTTTTATTTTTGTTTTTGATTTTTATGGTTAGAGATTCTCGAAGACGGTCCGGAGGAGGAAGGTACTAGATAGAAAAATATTGCAGCAGACACTGAAAGTAGTCAGTCTCTTGGTATACGCGTTACATGCTTGTTTACCGTTGTCTTTCGACAGCCTTTCTGTTGACCATTATATTTCGACAACGTGCTGCTAGCTGGTCTTCGCTAGTTACAGATGTCGTCGATATACTTGTGGCGGTATTAGTTTTTGCCATAATTCGAAAATTTATCTGGACCTCCTCGTCATTGCTTACAACAGAATTGCATGGGAGATGGGGGTTATCCGACACAACGGGTATCAGCCAAAAGCAAAATGGGACACTTTATGAGATTCTTTGCAAATGCTGGAATCTAGAAGTGTTATAAATTATTGTATCCCTATAATCATTTCAAATGCGATAACACATTCGCTTTTTGATGTCCCAAATTGTCTTTTTCTTCTTTTGTTAGTAATTCATTAATAGTAGAAGGCTGCAGATCTTTCATGGTCTTGTGCAGTTTAAAGTTACATCATGTACATCTTATCTTAAGACTGATTATTATTCATTCGGGGGTTGAATACAAATCCGGCACAACAGGCAAATTACCGCCAAAAGCTAAATTGGACAGTTTATAAGTTTCTTTGGAAATGCTGGAATCTAGAAGTGTTATAAATTATTGTATCTCTATAATCATTTCAAATGCGATAACACATTCGCTTTTTGATGTCCCAAATTGTCTTTTTCTTCTTTTGTTAGTAATTCATTAATAGTAGAAGGCTGCAGATCTTTCATGGTCTTGTGCAGTTTAAAGTTACATCATGTACATCTTATCTTAAGACTGATTATCATTCATTCAAAATATTTCCCCTGAATGGATTTCTGTTCGCTTAAATGCGTCGCAGTATTTTATTTATTTATTTATTTGTAATTCTATTTAGTAAGTTCTTTTTTATCTTGTTAGATTATGAGACTGATGACGAAGCAAAAGGACTGTTAGACGATTCAGGAGAAAATGGTAAAAACAATTGAACTACAACTACAATTACTTTAAGGGATATTTTAAGAACACCCAGTGTCAAAACACGAGCTAGTGTGTTCATTTCAGTACGATTTCTGATGTCAGTTTTTCATGTTTCCTGTTCGATGTGCACGTGCTACTGTCCTCGTTCCCCGTTAATTTTTGTAACATCGTCTGTCAATGTCTTCTGTTTGTTGCTACTTATTGATTGCTCCGATTGTCTTTTTAGGCGAACTTAAGGACGTTAAAGATGAAGAAGGTAACTGAATGCTGTTTTACTATCATTTTATGAGAAAAACAATGAAATATTCAATCCAGTTGCTGTCAATTTTTTTTTTGTTTTAATATCAATATCTTTTCTTTCTGTTTTTAATTTTTATGGTTAGAGATTCTCGAAGACGGTCCGGAGGAGGAAGGTACTTGATAAAAAATATTGCAGCAGACACTGAAAGTCGTCACTCTCGTTGTTATTTAATTAACAAGGCGCAATAAAGTATAATAGTCTTGGTATATGCGTTACAGGCTTGTTTATCGTGGTCTTTCGAAAGCCTTTTTGTTGACCTTCACATTTCGACGACGTGTACTAGCTGGTCTTCGTTAGATACAGGTGTCGTCGATATGCTGCGTGGGCCTATTAGTTTTTGCCATAATTCGAAAATTTATCTTGACGTCCTCGTCATTGCTCACAATAGAATTGCATGGGGGATGGGGAGGAATACAAATCCGGCGCAACAGGTAAATTACCGCCAAAAGCTAAATTGGACAGTTTATACGTTTCTTTGGAAATGCTGGAATCTAGAAGTGTTATAAATTATTGTATCCCTATAATCATTTCAAATGCGATAACACATTCGCTTTTTGATGTCCCAGATTATATTTTTCTTATTTTGATAGTAATTCATAGGAGACTGCAGATCTTCCATGGTCTTGTGCAGTTTAAAGTTACATCATATACATCGTATCTTAAGACTGATTATTATTTTTTTTTCAAAATATTTCCCCGATTCTTATTGGCTAAAAGCGCACGCATAATTCCCCATAAGCAGTTACTGTGGACCAAATTTGGAAGAATTTTGTGTTTAACGAATAAATGACGTCAAAAATGGAGCGTTCTTGCAGGTTAATGCACCGTTAACCGAGAAGACCTGGGGACGAGGTTAAGTTGTTTTGGTTGTGAAAACAAAAAAAAATGGTTGACATTTCATTTGTTTCAATAGTGGGAAGTAGGTGAAATTATAGCTAAAAACATGGCAAGAACAGCAAGAACACAACTCGAAGGGCGACGTCTGCTATTAGGAGAATATTTGCGGAGCTAAACAACCCTAAACGTGCACTATCGACGGTGAACTTAACATCGATGGAGGTAAGCATGTTTTAGCTTTGTTTTTAAACTAGGAATTATTTTGAATTAATATTAAGACAATTATTGAATTCGGCTTTCGTATCATATGAAGAATTATGGAGATCTCTTAGGGTGTTATCCGTTGAGGCCGTATAACACCTCCTCGATCTCCATAATTCTTCATAAGGTACTCAGCTTCATTCATTAATTGTTAAATAAAGATGTGTAATACAGAGGCAATGCATAGTAACCGAATGTATAGTTTCTGCTTGTTTAGATGCGTCGGAGTCGAGATTGTTCTTTATTTGTTTACCTGTTTTTAGATTATGAGACTGACGACCAAGAAAAAGGACTGTTAAGTGATTCGGAAGAAAATGGTAAAGAATACTAAAGCAGTTACTTAAGTAATTGATTTCTAACAATTTAGAATTTACATATCTGGTATAATTCCTATTTTTGTTTTCCACTTATTATTTAACGGAGATTCAAAGGAAAAAAAATGTTCGTTTCTTTTAAACTGCGTAGAAAAATTTGTTCCTTTAAAATTTTTGATTATTTTATTTATCTACCAAGGTGAACCCGAGGAAGCTAACGATGAAGGAGGTAACACTGCTGTTTAACTTGAATTTTGTGAGGAAGAAAAGCAACAAATAATTGAATAAATAATACGCACACCACATAATATTTTAAATGTCCTAATTTCAATTTTGTTTTATTTACTTTTGGTTTTAGAGATTCTTGAAAACTTCTCAGACGACGAAGGTATGAGAAAACGAGTTCTGCAACAGACTTGACAAATAGTGACTCTCACAGTTATTTATGTAACATAACATTACATGCATTTTCTACATAATGAACGCTATCATTTATCGCGCTATGTGTTTGATAGTCTCGTTTATTGTTTGTCTTCGTACGCAGGCACTTTTTAATTAATTGCGACGTTTCGATAGCGGCCCTTTTGTCTTCACGCGGCAATCAGGCCGTTTTTGAACACTCAATGAGGCTGTGCTTTATGTACTTTTTGACTAGCTTAGAACTCTCGCTAGTACTTTCGTAAGGTAAGAGACTATCCAAAGGTATCTCTACCATTCACGACATTTCCCTTCGATATCTACAGTCAAAGTTCATTTTTCAACTCTTTGAACTCTATCTCGTTAAATTAAATCAAAGCTGAGGAATTCCTGCATAACCCTCAGTGTCCATTAACTTGTATATATCACAAGCTGGTAACTTATAAACTTCGGTTGAAATTCAAAGAGAGGTATTTAATTCATTTGGTCTCATTAAAAAGTGTATGATATTTTGAATTTGGATAGAATAAAATTTGCAGTCATTGCCAGAAATCGTGGACATTTCGCGCCCGTGATCAATTGTCAGCGGAATCTCATTTTTAAAATGGCGGACAAAAACTATCGTAGTCAGGGAAAGCGTATCCCTTGCGATTTTTTAAATAATTTGAGCTCTGTGGATCTGTTTTACGAAGAAAAAAGCTGGAATTAAACACCTTGCAAGAAAATGTTAGGTTTATACGCGGCCGAGCGGCTGATAGCAACAAAACAGTACGCGGATGTACCTTTCGTGACATTTTCGTGACAATTTTGTTTTAAAACCAAGCCTGGTAGGCTAATCGAGGATTTTTGAATGCCTGGAACCTAGTTTATATCCCGTGAAGCATCTCTGGAGTTGTAGCAACAAACAAAATGGCGATTCTGTGGGGTTTGGAGTTGTGAAGCTGTGTCCGACCGAAATGTGTCATTCGCAACCATGGCGTCCATTACTGGACTACAGATGGAAAACTGAGGGAAATAATGCGCCTTTGGAAGTATTTTGCAGTGCAAAAATTGTCCTTTTAACGACTGTTTTGGAAACATCTTCCATCGCAAAAGTGATATCGAGTCGGGCAAATTTACTTCAGTGAAGGGTTTATCCTCTATCGACGAGTATTTCGCATGACTTCGGCAAGATTTTAAGACAATGTATGGAGAAATGGAGCGTACAACAAGGAATAAAAGTGGCCACGTCAGGAAGTAAGTAAACCTACTTCTAATTAGCTATTTTTAACCCAGATGCGAGGGTTACACAGCACTTAACATGTTTCGAGTCGGGCACCGAACACCCGTGAGCTCATAATCGATATATTTGAAAAAGTTTTCTTATCTCCATACATTTTCTTATACGAATTCGCAGCCATTGTGGCCTTAGTGCGCACGCGCAACCACCATCTTGTCCCTAATTTCTGGCAATGAAATGTAAATGCAATAATTCAAGTCGACTCTTCATATTTTTCGCGAAGGTTTGGTAGATAAGCCTGATGTCAGAGTTCAAACAAAGTAGTAAGACAAGCTTTTTATAAGTAGGGGCTCTGTGAAATCCTAAATTATTATCATATTTATTAAATTTATATATTGATGAATCTTCTTTTTTCTATGGTAAACTTGTAACAAGTACGTGAAAATACAACCTGACACAATTTAAGCTTTACTTATTCGGTTATCTCTACTTACTTATTCCAATAAAAGTGTAAGAAACTTTACTTAAACAAAAAAAAAGTAAGAAAGCTATATTTTCTTTAAATTTGTAATTTAATAAATTTCAAAGATCCTCGACGAATCAAACGCAGAAGATCTAGAAGATCTGGTGGAAGACGAAAACGTAGACGTCAACGCGGAAGGCGTCGTAGGCGAGGAAGAGGACGCGGAAGACGTGGTCGAAGGTCAAGAAAACGAATTGGACGACCTAGGCGACGTAGACGACCTTCACGTAACAGAAAAGGCGGAAGGCGAAGATCTAGAGGTGGACGAAGAAGCAATGGGCGCGGTCGAAGACGGGGAAACAAAAGTGAGTAGATCTATAATTGAAAATCCTCTTGGAATGCAGACATATGGAATTTCTACTTCGATTTTATTTTTTAGCTTACTATTTTAACTTTATACAATAAGATAGTGCGCGCGCTCTTATTGGCTGAGAGGAGTGTTATAGGTTGTCTGGGTTGCGGGTACAACAAAGTATCATACGTAATAGAGTGGAGAAGTCGTTACGTCGCGTTGCCATGGTAGCAAAATCACTGGATGACAAAAAACTGAAAACAGCACCTATAAAGTGAATTCGTACTGTTTCAAACAGCCGTCGATTTTATTCAATTTCGTTTAATTTGTCAAATGTTGGCAAAATGTTTCTCGGGTTAAATCAGAAAGGACCGTCTCTAAGTTTAGAAAAAGAAAAATAGCATTTTTGCGTTGTGCTCACCTACTTCGGGTGCTTAATATTAGGAAGAATAAAAAATAAAAGCGCGATGAACGTAAAGAGTTGTTGTTTTGCCGATATAAAGCCATTGCCTTTTTCCAGTTCACTTTGCCGTTGCCGGCGTCGTTGCTTAAGTTCCCTATTGTTGTTATCCAGAAATTTTGTTACCATGGTAACATGACTTCACATCTTTCCTCTCTGTTAGGGAGAATGAAAGTATACTAAATGCTTCGGCGGTGTCCAGCTACATGGGGCGGCTAGGGCAAATCAACTGCGTTCAACACGCTTTCGACAAGAACACTTCACCACCATAATTAATGCTTTAAGTTTCAGCAAGCTATATTACTGTTGTAATGTTTGGAGCAACACCTTTGAACGCAACCTAAATTGGATTCAAGTTGTTAACAAATTTAGTGGCACGGATCGTTAGCAACACAAGGAGATATGATTCATTATTTTCTAAATATATTCAAAGAGCTAGCATCACTACGCGTACCACAAGGAAATCCCAAATGTTACATATTCCTCTGTATAAAATTGCCACAGCACAAAGAACCTCAGTCTCTTTAAGAACCGTTAAACTTGAATTTGTAACTCACTGAACCCTGCCCTTATGCTGAAATCTACCTTAAAGGACTTCAAGAGTTGCCTGAATGAACACTTATTGTTGATTTTTTTGGATTAAGACTTTCATGTTTTAGTAAATTATCAGTGTGCATGGTCTTACCATTTGTAGTTATCATGTATGTATGTATGTAAAAAAAAAGAAAAAAAAAATTGTATGTATACTCTTGTTCTAACAATGTTTATAACCACCCTTTGTGTTTTTCTTTTGAAATCATACTAAATATGTACAATTTTCATTTAGATTCTCCCAGGTCAGAAACTTGATAATTCTTTTATAAAACAGTGTTACCTTTTTTAATTTGTACAATCTACAATGTTGAAATTCAGGAAAAACTGTGGACACACTGTTCTATTATTTTACGTAGGGCAGGCAAGTCGTTGGGCCAGTAAAATTTGTCCCAGAGTCGAACTTCTGTCCTTGATTTTAGAATATTGCGTGAAATTTTTGATAAAAAAAAAAACAAAACAAAACAAAACAAAACAAAAACAAAAAACAATCAAACGCACACACGTCACTCCCACACAAAAACGAAACAAGCAAAAATGAGTAGAATGAAAAACAGACAAAACGTCACTTTCCCACAGATAACAGAACAAAAAAGGTAGAATAAAAAAGCAAACAAATGAACAATAACAAAACAACATCAAACAAAAAATATAATGATAAAACAAAAAGTTTGACTTAAACGGCCTTAGCCAGAAAAGAGCCCTCTGTGTTTTGACATTCTCCGCTTATTTTTATTGTTATTATTTTATGTATATATTATATATTTTTTGTCAGGCGCACGGAGAACTAGCACTTGCCCTCTATTTGACTACAAAGGAAGCAATTTTGACCCCAACGGGTGGGACCCGTTTGTTCGTATTGAGAATGGATTCAGACAACACGCAGTGAACATAAATCGCTATGCTGGTGAATGTGGAGTAAAGGTTTGTAGGCTAGCAGTCGATTCGTTTATACATTAACACAAAACCTTTCCTGAATAGAAACGTACTAGCTTCACGGGATATCAATTATAAGGTCATTTTTAAAGCAATTCCAGTGCCAGTACAGCTTTATCCAGTATTTTTGGATCGATGCAACTTTTCGATATAATACTTTTGAATCTGAATTAACGAGGTAAGACAGAGACTTGTCCTAGCGGATTTAATTCTGATGTCGGGTAACTGATATTAGATCCGTTAAAATGGGTCTTTAGAGAACATTTTCATTTCTTTCAACTTCCCCGCTGCTGCGGGACCGCTGTTGAACCCGTTTAATTATAAAGCATTTTTTCGCCGGGTCATGACTTAACGTTCCCATCATCAGTATTAGGCAAAGTGGTCCAGTACTTAGAGCGCTTAACTTACAAGAGATCAAGCCTATCATAACTCCCGATGGCGAGTGTATACCCTTCTTCAATCGCCTGTAAGCTCAAAATTGGTTGGCCTTCTGGCAGTGAGGATTTTTTTTTTCATTATGATTACATTTTGCTTTGCTGTGTTTGTAAATTTGTTTTTTCAATTTCTAGTCCTATCCTTGTTTTGTTTTGTTGTTGTTGTTGCTTTTTTAACCACTGGGTTAATTGTAAATTCTTTATTCCCATCAAAGACTTCGTTGGTTAAACTCGTTACCATCTTATTTTTCTCTCACCTATATTCTATATTTTTTTTTTACTTATTTATTTAATTAATTTATCTTATGTTTCATTTTTTTTGCCATAGTTGTTTATCATCAGCTCCTTCAGGAAACGTGCAATACAGGCGAGAAGAAGTAACCATATGGTTGGCCGTGCTATCGATGTGAATTTAAGTTGGCCTGGGGGATTCTGCAATAATGCTTGTTTGGGAAACGAAGCAAGGTTACCTTCGGGACCTAGGTGCTTTATCGCCAAGATCCGTAACGATCCAAGCCTTCGTTGGGGTGGAGATTTCAATGATCCTGGACACATTGACGACAACCTGAATAATCGTGACCCAGCAGCGTATGACCGGCTCCGTGACTTCTTGCAGCCTATCTGCTCGGAAGTTCGTTGACTGCCTAACAACCCTGCCATTGTCATTATCAAGACTAGAATATTATTGTAACTGTTAATTTTAGTTGGTTTAAATAGCCATACATCTCTATAGCATATTGTGGCGAGGTTTTACAACTTTAAATGAATTGAATAAATTTAAACGATTTTTAAAGGTCCTTTTGTGGCTTTTGTATTTTTCTGCTTTATTTCTTATAAACTGCAAACATCTTTTCTTTTTTATTCTATTTATTTATTTACTTTTTTCAAGAAGACAAACTTAAAGCAAAGGGCAAACATACACCAATCCACAGCCTGGCCAGTACCTCACGCATGCACACAGCCATATCATCCGGGCTCATCAGCTCATCATCAGGGTCTTTGATACATGGGGCTTTTTCCCGTTCATTGACCCAACGGCTATGCCATGCTGATGAACCCCAATAAGGGCGAAACAGCTGTCCATGGCTGCCACTGCCCGTGCCACTGCCCTCTGCCACTGCCCGGTTTTTTAAGGGCGGACGAGTCGAGAGGAAAAAAAAATAACTCTTCCAGCGGGAGACATAGAGGGGTAATAGGGAGAGGGCATGATCTCAGCCTATGCCTGTAATAGCATTATATCTCTTAAATGTGATCGAATGTGATTGCTAGTTTTTTGGGTGTATATATACGGCTATCAGTTCGATGTCAGATCTTTTTTTTTTCACTCTAAAATCACTTAGCCTTAGCTTTCCCTAAAAAGTCACATGTGTGCCCTTTAAGTTAACTGATTTGTGGATTACAAGTTTATTGTTTGATTTAGATTATAAATTTATTAATGGGAGCTTCGCTTTTAGCCCTGGCTAAATCTATATATTAGAAAGTGTTTGCCATGGATTTATGAAGATAATCTTAAAAAAAAAAATAACAGAGAAGTCATGATGACGTCCTTCGTTACCAAAGATTAAGCTGGATCTGACCACTATCTTCGATCTGCCACTTTTTACTAATTAGATCTATTCCATTATAAATTATAAGTGAGATTTAAAAAATGATGAAAAAGTGCTTAAGTAAGTATACGATGACAATTCAATTTGGATATTTGCAAAATGGCTGTTAAAGAACGGTTGCCAAGACATCATTAATATTATTCGCAGATACTTTTTACTATGGAATGTCGCTAAAGTTTGGCGGTCATACTGTAGTTTGAATAGTGTTTGATGTTGTTGTTGTTTTTTCTTGTACCTTCTTTTAAGGGTATTTTTAAAACGCTACACAAGTAGTTTTCCCCCAATTGTTGTTCAATTACACATCTTAAAATTAACATCAAGTTTAATTTGGGTTTATCTTAAGGCTTCCCTCTTTTTTCGTTCTACCCACAAAGAGGGCAAATTTTCAACTCGCATTTTTTATCAACGCTGTAATTGTACATGTATTTCATTTGATCATACTACTGCCTGCCAGCTTAAGCAGAATTTACCGAAACGAAAAGACTCGTTTTTTTCTCTGCGTAAGAGAAAGTAAGATCACTGTTTGTAGTCTTCCTTGTTTCTAATCATGGCTGCAATGGTTGAAGTAAGACATGTTGTGGGCTAATATTTGATCTTTCAGCTAATATCCTGCGGGACTTCGGGCGTATTTATATTTTGTTTGAGCTTGAGTGCCAACTAAAAGTACGCAACCGATATAACTCAAAAAAAGTAAATTATTCTGAAGGCTCTCTTTCGGCAACTACAAACTGTTTGTTCATATTTGAGGAGGTATACCCTTTTAAAGTCAATTTTATTTTTATTTTGTGTTGATATATTTTTCAAGGTAGAAATTATGTACAAATGTATTACTCATTTCATTAATTAATTAATTTTAACATTTATTATTATTATTATTATTATTAATATTATTTGTGTTTGTGTGTGTGTGTATGTGTGTGTGTGTTTAGTAACTCCGCCATGAGCCTTCAGTGATAAACTAGAAACATTCATAGTTAACCCATTTCTTAAATGGAATCTCCTTTTCCAGTAAAAGCAGGCGTAAAACCCTCTACCTACAAATTGGGTATAGTTTACTTAAACCCATGTTTATGTCGATTCTAGTTGAAAGGTATTCCCTTCCTCTTTGCGACGGTAATTATACTTTGATTTTTGCTATGCTTCCACAATGCTGGCAAAATATTAGATTTTACATGTGATCATGTCAGTGGTACTCGCCATGGAGTGCTTTGGGAATATTTTACTTTCGAAAGGCAATACCCACCACTACATCGGAATAATCTGCGAACGACAAAGTTGATGTAATGAGATATGTGCCGCTGCTGGGTAACTCTAAGCTGATGATGAATGCAAGAGTTGCAGTGTTATAAAACTACTTGACTTTAACGTAGTTAACTTTCTTGTTTGGTTATTGACCATAAGCTGGTAATACACTTGACAACAGATGTTTAGGGAAAAATACATTTTTAATTGTCTTAAACTGTCTTTGTATTGATTGGACATTCTTTACAGTAATAATTACATACTCCAGGTATATATTATAACGTTTGACACAGCAAACGTAGAGTGTGGTTTCCATGATATTGAACATTTTTTACCTGATCAGCACAAAAAAGAAAAAAAAAAGTAGAAAAGTGGAAAGAAAATTATAGCAAATATCGAGGAGCTTCCTTATTTACTGAGATTCCAATTAAAATATATTGGCATGAAAATTACAACCCAACACTCCAAATGCTATTATTTTCACGAGTTGACACAGTAAAATTAACACGAGAAAAAGATACCGCAAGTGTCAAAAGAAATTTTGTCTACTCATAATATCACGTATATGTACTTCACAGAGAATGAGTCGATCATTTGTTGAGGAGTACGCGACAACGCTATGGTTTTCAAGTAAAAATAGAAATACAGGAAGCTTTAGTTCATCTTTCTTTCTGTTTTTTTTTTTTTTAGCTATTTCCTTCTGACATGGTAAGAGTCGAAAGTTGATATTGTGATGGTTCCTTAGTTACAATGTTTTCTGACCCAATACGAGTATGACAAAAACATTGAAAAAGAGCACATATCGTCAGATAAAATGGTGCTTGCCAGATTAGGTTTTGAAAGTTAAAGACAGCACTTGTAATTAAATATTTAAGGACTTGGCTTACTAGGTAACTCTGTTGTTAGCTGTCCTTCATCCTTCCGTGTTTCTGTCGAAGACGACTGAAAATCCAAGTAAATAAGTATTGTTCTTTTATTACAGGTATAATTGCTTGGTAAATCAGTGCTATTTTCAACGATAAAGCTATCTCTTTACTGAAGTCAACCTTTCTTTGCAGTGGAAAAAGAAATGTTTTCTCAAAGAAATAGAACAAAAAGCCGAAAAAAAAAAAAAAAAAAAAAAACCTATCACATGTATAACTATGGAAATGCTGGTGTCGAATGAAAACTGCTTCCTCTTTTCTTAATTATATTAAATTGCATCGGAAAAGGTGTATTGATCTTAGCGAAGCTCCCGCAACACAGGTTCCAGTATAATATTATATTGAATGTTCTTTCTGATCACGTCATTGTTATTCACCATAGCTTGGATCGAATATCTCTTACTTTAAAGAATATGTCCCCTATTTGCTCACAAGGCGCTGCCTGGGTTTGCTCTAAGAACGGTTAGCCAACGCGCTTCAGCGATGTTCCTTGACTTTACTATTGACATGGCTAGCAGTTACATAAAAAAGGAAAAGGAAAAAAAACAACCAAAAAAAAGGAGGAGAAGAAGAAGAAGAAGACGACGACGACGAAGAATTAAAAAAACAAAATTCCAAAGAAAAGAAAAAAAAGCAAAGTATATTTAGCATTACTGAGGATTCCGGCGATAGAAAAATATTGAACTTGTGAATTAAAAACCAACGCTATTTAGAGGAATCATGCATCGTGGTCTCGTTTCAGGTTCATTTCAGATTTCGGAAGAGGGTTTCTTTTGTTTTATTAAGTTGATATTATTGTTTAATATTTTGATCAAGTTATAATTAGCATGAGAAAAGATACCGCAAGTGTGAACAAAAGTTTACCGCCTCAATTATGAGCTTCAAGGAATCTGCTTTTTAATCCGCGATCAACTGGAAAATAACTTAACATCCTCTTGACGACAGCATGAGTTCACGAAGGAGAACTAAATTAAACCTGCAGTTATATTTGACCTTAGGTTTTGTCATCTAAATATATATAATTTCTGAAATGGATAAAAGGGGAATAAATACGAAAATTTTTAAGAAACTGCCCTTAACGTTATGATGAGTACAAAGCTGTGGTTGATTGCACTGATTTCGTTAGCTGTTAGCTTCTGTTATGAAGGTACATTAAAGTGACGATCGAAAATTTAAAATAATTGAAGAGAAGAGCACTGTCAAAACTACACGTATGGATCTTTCAATTTCGATATAAGCAGTAGACGTCAACAGTGAAATGATGATTGCGAAGTTTCTTTTTGAATGTTGCAGTAACTTTTATCTAGATAATTTTATCACCTCTTCTGCTCGTTTAACTGTGTATGTATGTTCTGTTTACATTTTTTTAAGCTTCTTCCAAGGAGGATATAGGAAAAGGGGGTAAGTGCAGTGTTGTTCAACAGAATATCTTAGCAAGAGTAGTTATATCTGTATATTGAAGGATATGTAAGTTCATTAAAAAAAAAAAAAAAAAGAAAAAAAGAAAGAAAGATATATCGTATATTGTACCCGGGAGTGAAGGAAACATTAAATGCTAATTTCGATTTTCAAGTGATGCTCTGCAAAAGCTGTGAAGGAAAGTTTGATAATTTACCGATAATGATTTATTTTAATGCTTAAGCCATGCATCACGATAGGTCACCCATGCTAATTCCGTATTCTAGAGTTTTCTTTTTCATTTTAAAGTCATGATTGTTTCTTGAGCATAACAGTCCAAAGGAAGTGAATATATCTCGAGAACTTTATTCAGAGGACGGGATTTAACGGGAGAAGGTTCTTTGGTGCTTTTTCTGGTGGTGACGAGCCGGACAGTGAAACACTAGCTTAGTCTATACTAGACAATGTTCAGTTGAATTTTGCTACCTTAGTGCATTTCAATGACATCATCATCATCATCGTTATCATAAGTGATTATGTAAATGGATTTGATAACCGAGTATTGAGCCCTTACATTTCTCATTGACCTGACGCAGTACTCTATCTATTTTGCTAATTGAGCAAACTAGAGAGCAGACCAATTTTGAGTTTATATCTTGAAAACCGGATGGTGGAAACAAAATGACTTAAAATATATGAAATTAATCATATTTTGAACTGCGCGTGTAGATAAAGATATGACAGTGAATATGTCGATCTCAGTAGAAGCAAATAACAACCAAAGCAGATTGAAAATAAAAAAAAAAAAAACGGTTTTTCATTTCCCTCAATATCATCATCATCATCATTATAATTATTGTTCTTATTATATTTATAATTGCAACGAGTGACGATGAGGAGCTAGGGAAAGGTATTATTCTGTCTACCTTGATACAGTGTATATGGAGCTTGACAATTGAGTAAGACGTAATTAGGAATTTTAGTTTACCGATGTGTGATTACTCAAGTGTTTTGTTTTGTACTTTGAGGAGATTACGAAGACTTGAGAGAAGAAAGTATTAAAATTCTTGATTATCATGTCGAGGGTGGTTGTTTATTTATGTGCACGACCTTAAAACATGTTTATTCAGTGTTTATTTCGTGTTTTGTGGGTGCTACTCAATATCTGATCTTAAATAGCTTCCAGGCAATCTTATAAAGTATTTAGTCGTTTTAGTAGTAGTAATAATATTAATACAAATAATAATAATAATTCATAATAATATTTAAATTTTGTGCTTGCAGCAGACAGCGAAGATGACTCGGATAAAGATCTAGAAGGTCTGTATGAAACAAAGTTAAAAAAAAAATAGCGTAATAAAAATAACCGTTACTGTACTTTATTTACTGATGACAAATTACTTACATAGAAGGTAAAAGGTCGGCTTATTTTTTCTGTTTCATATTTTAAATGTGCAGAGGACGATGAAAGTGACATGGATCAAGAAGGTATCTATTATAGTCACAAAAAAATACTATAATTAACAGCAAATTTCCCTCACTTATATTACGTAGCACGTCAAATTGTGTTAAAGTGAGTATCAATTATTCTCTTTTTTTGTTACAGAGGAGAACGAAGAGGACTTTGACAGCGAAGGTTTGTATCACAAATTTAGAGATCTCCATAATTCTTCATAAGATACTCAGCCTCATTCATTAATTGTTAATAATCCATTTACATTTTTTTTTTACTTTACCGGCGTTTTGTTTGTTTGTTTGTTTTTTCTTTTTCTTTTTGGAGGTGGGAGGGGGGGGGGGGGGGTTACCCTTGACCGAATGTTCAGTTATCGCTTGTTTTCTTATCATTCAGAGTCAGTTTAGGCCAGTCTTAAGCTATCTTACTTTTGCTTACTAAGGAGCCCTGACCTTAAACCACGTGATTTTCTTTTCTATTCCTTTATTTTATTTTTGTTAGTTTATCTCTTTATTCTAAGATTACGAGGATCCAAGCCCATGGCTATGGGGGCGTCGGACTCGTTCCAAACCGAGTTCCCAAAGAAGACGCACTTCTGGCGGTTCCTGGTGGAGGCGACGTCGAACACCTACCCCTGTACCACGCCCGCGCCCACGCCCGCGCCCAAACCCTCGACAACCACGCCCTGCTCCAACACAGCGACCTGCACGCCGATGTTCCTGGTGGAGAAGGTGCCGACCTCGTCCTGCTCCTCCTGCACCTCGTCCTCGCCCACAGCCTCGCCCTCGCCCTGCTCCGATCCCTGTCCCTCGCCCACGCCCTATAACGTCACGTCCCCGCCCACCAAATCCCCTTCCTTCACGTAAGCAATGTTAAATAACATTTCATACTTAAAATGAGCTTCAACTGTAACAGAGATGTGTAAAAAGTAATACTGGTAAATATTATGATTAAGTTCGATGGTTGATTTTTTGCCAGCTATGCATTACTTACTATTTTCAACCAGTATGACTCTACTTAACAGTTTCAATGTGCAATTAATGGATTTTATGGCCCCCATGACTCCAATTTACCATGTTTTGCGCGTGTCTTCGATCATCTGAACAGGCGTTCTGTGTTCTATTGATGTCAGTGTACAAAAGGCCATGCTGTACCCATGTACCGATCGTTTGACAACCGGCTGTAACTGCTTGACCGCCAGACGTACCGCGAACGTACCACGTGTACCGAGTTTACCGAGTGTCGGGGCTCCCAACGACGGTTTCCTCCTAAACGTATTAAAAACACTTTTAGTTTATACAGAGTAGATTTATATATCCAGAAATGCATTCTAAGAGGCACTATAAAATTTGTTTCTGTTCGGTCATCCCAGGGCTTCACTATATAATTATTTTTCCCGAAAAATTTAGATGCAATTGAAAGTTTAACTAACGGTCCCTGAAGGCCTTTTAATGTTTCGGCTGCACCAAGCGTACCTTGTGTACCAGCACTGGGAATATCCACTTTAGAAAATATTTTGATCCACGAAACAAAACAAGCTACTATCCAATCACTGTATAAATTTGAAGCCGTTTGAAGTCACGTGAAGCGAGGCTTGTTATTATAAAATTTTTGGATGAAAGTCGGGTGTACGCGAAGACGAAAATAAATGAATAAATAAATAAATAGATAAATAAATGAATAATCAGGTGTCCTATTTACGAAGCCCCAGGCAAACAATCGTTATTCATTAGATACCAGCATGTTAACCGTCTCTGATCGGATTCAAATCCCTTCAAAAACGACTCATAAAGACACAGGAACACAGGTAGATGCATCCTCTTAACTAATACAGCTTAGATGCATCTAATTATTTCATAAGCATATTCATTGGTCGGGTTAAATTCCCTGTGACATGGACTAAATAGCAGTAAAGCGGCGAAATCTCCAAAGATTACATCTACTGTCCATCTCACCTAAACTGTAATTTTAATGGCAAGTATCGGTGACCAGGACGTACTCTAGTAGTTTAAGGCCTGGGACTGAGGGGTTTAGCTGTGGAAAATGAATTATTGGCTATAACTTCGGCATAGATGATGGCACTGAATCAAAATTTCGCACTCATAAAGAACTCATCGTCCTTAACATCATAAACTATAAAGATTGTATTAATAATTAACGTGATATGTCACCTGACCATTTTGCTAAAAATTGTGAACTATTGACCAATTGGTGGCCGGTTTAAGAAAATAAATCCAGCAAAAACATTTTTCTAATCCATATTAAATATTTCTAACACTTCACGTTTGGAATGACCGTCCATTGCGCTTTAATAAAAAGAAAAAAATAGATCTGAGGAAAAACATCATTTTAAATGCCCAAGATTAATTTTAAAATATTTAAATGTTTAATTTCAGACTTTGCGTACATTCATTCCAAACGTTAAAAGTTAGGTATCTTTATCCCGTTTCAGAAATGCTTAAAACTTAGCAGGCATTTATTCACGGACAGTCTACCAACGAAATATTTATTTTCTTTATTATTTAGATCCAGGCCTTTCGGAGAAAACAAATAATACTAAAACCTTCATTATTAAAGGAGCCGTGTCACGAAATTCAGCCAAATTAGGTAATTACAAAATGCCCGTTAAATTAAGAGAAACGTAAAAATAACCGCTTAAAACATTAAAGGAAGGTTAAAATAACACAACAGAAACAACAGATGCCACGGATGGGAAAACTGAAGAAGATTGAAACGGATTGAAATTACGGTTTTTGAAAACTGTTCAGCCTAACAGTTTTTCAAAGTTGACCCCTGCTGCTTGCAACTTAAGAAATAATGCTCAGGAGACATATTTGTTTGCCTGTTTTGTCATTTACCTGTAAATTCTTTGCTTAGTTTAAGTTCCATAGCGATTGAGGTCGAGTAATTGGCAAAATTAAACAAAATGAACTGGACTGCCGTGACACAGCCCCTTTAATAAATGATTATTAGGCCACAATAATAGCTATAACTCTGTCAAGTGGTCATAGGAAGTGCTAAAACTGCATCAGAGGTCAATTTCTGTTAAGAAGAAAAAGAAAAAGAAAACAATATTCGTAAAATAGACCAGCCTCTGGATCTCCACAGCATTTAACTCCCAATAATAAAATATCTATCGTGATCGATTTTTAAGCCAAATGAAACGAGAATTCGGTAATGTTTGGACGATGCAGACTCGAATCGTACATGTATTGACTTTGTACCATCTCAGAGCTTTACATTTAGCCCTTCGAGAAACACTTGTCAAGGTAGGCCAATAAGGTAATATCAAGTGCTAAGCCAGTCCGTCCATCATGGTCATATCACGTGACGAAAATAATACTGAATACGATTGTGACCTTTTGTCTTGTTGGTTTTGTTATTTTTGTAGGACTGTGCTTTGCACAGATTTGCTCTAGCCATACCTTCAACAGCATAAGAGGATCGGATCGATACGGAAGAGGAGCATGGAAAGCACCAAGGTAGAGTTTTCTGACTAAAACACACGCAAAAATATGGTTCAATTGCCCCGAGAGGGCATAGATAGTTAGTGTTTTAGGTACGAGCCTCCTTTAACTCTCTAAATTTGTTTTGTTGTAGAGGGAGCCGTACTCACAATGGTATTGACGTCATATGTAATGCTGGTTCCTCTGTTTATGCACCTTTTTCTGCTAAAGTGATTAGAAAAAGCAGACCTTATGGAAATGGAAGGCCGCATGACACTGGTATTTACATGGAGGGAACTGGAGATTGGACCGGTAAATATTTTCGAATGACCTATGGTAGTAAACTAAGTAAAGTCCAGTCCTGTCGTAATCATGCTCGCGTGATTAGTTAGTTCTTGAATCAAACGGTAATCGTAACTCCCGACTGAACGAATAACGAAAACTCGATTTCGCTCCGAGTACAAATCAGACAACATATCAAGAAAACAAAACGCGGATAACTCATCAAACTTTCAAGCCCATATTTTGTGACCGGTAATATTCCAAGTAATTACCTTTGAATACCGTTTCCTATTTAGGCTACGCAGTAAAGATGTTTTACGTGACAAAAGATATCCGCAATGGCGTCTCCGTTTCCGCACGAGGGCGGATTGGCTCCATGACAAACATGGCCGCTCAATTCTCACCTCCCGGTATGACAAATCACATTCACGTGGAGCTTTACAAGAGTGGACAAATAGTGAATCCAACACCTTATCTAAACTGCTAAGGTAAATCTGTCATTACTAACACAATACATAATATACAACTATGCCCTAGGGAAGAAGACTTGAATAGTAATAAATAATAAATAAATAATAAATGTTTAATTAGTATTTGAGGAATTTGTTCGATGAAAAATGACCAAGTAACTTTAGAAAAAAATAGACGTCTGCCACTGTTCGAGGCCCACTACATGGACTACGATAGATACTACACGATATGTTCTCTATTTAAATCCTGTAACACTCAGTCCCCCGGGGAGTCAGCTGGGAAGGGATGGTTACTAAGGGATAAATACAATAAATATATTAAGAGCGAAGGGTGGCAAGAGTTGAACAATCGATTTCCTTCATTTTTTTGTCCATAAATAGCTTTTAGGTAGATAAGTAATCTGATGTAAGTTGTTCTCGCAAAAAGCCTTTATTCTCGAGGAAAGTAAGATTATCAGTTTTCCTGGTGGGATTCGTGTACTCTCGTTTTTGGTTTTAGTTAGAAAAAAGTTTCTATAATCCTTTGCACGAAAAAAAAAAAAAAAACTGGTAACATCCACTCTCCTCGCGTTTGCAAATAAAGCCGCAAGGAGAAATTTGGACACTTTCCATTAATAGAACAACTCTTCTTCTTTCACTAGAAGATACTTTCAAAGCAATATCAAGACTCGTTGAACTAACATAATTCAGAAACGAAGAACAGGTTTTTATGGTGACAAAAACTTTAATTTAGTAGTTGTTTTCTGCGGCATTTTTCTTCGTGTTTTATAGCTCCAAATAATCCCGGTCCTCGTTTATTCACACATTTAGACACTCATCTAAAGCATACCTGAGAATTGTCTTGGGTTCCTTTAGGCAGCCTCCAAACGAAAGCATCAAAGTCCGGTAAAAATAGTGAAGCGTGGCCAAAATAACATACACATATTTAACGGCTCCAAGTTTCCTCGATCGTAAAGTAAGAAGACGAAATATCTTCCTGTTCCGTCATCCTTAGCGAATTGCCATTGTTAAAGTCCATATTTTTCGATAAAAAGTGAGTACCAGAAAAAGCGTGTTTGACTTTTTCTTCTTCTCAATACTGTCGGGATCGAAAATGTTACTCTTTCAAGAATTGCGTTGCGTTACTACCGTGCTTCCGTGACTGTCATTTTAACGGCTTTTCAAACGTACGTTGTGTCACGTGTAGTCACGGAACAGATTGTCACGCAGAGTCGCCGTCTGGTGGGGTTCAGTGTTTCAAAATGGCTAAAATTGACCTAGTTCCACTTTATTACCCCACTCTTTGATTGGAAAAATACATTTTGCTATGGAAAAACCTACAAGAAAAAAGCGAACCTTTAGGATGTAAATATCTACTTTTGTGCGTTTCGAAATTGGAAGTGTTTACACAATTACCGCCGACCTACCATGAACATTTCTGAACTTCGACGGTGTCTTACAGAGATTACATTCAATAACCCAAGCCAATTCCCAGGTATGTTTTAAATGAATGTCTAAATGTGTGATTGAAACAGCATTAAGAGAATTTGGAGTTATACCACGTGTTAAATATTGCCGTCGAAAATGAGTAACGAGCTTAAGTTTTTGTTATCCTGAAAACCTATCCCTCATTTTTGAATTATTTCAGTACGACGAGCTTCGCCATTGCCCTGAAAATATCTTTTAGTGGAAGAAAAAAAAAAATTCTGCTCATGGAAAGTGTCCAAATTTCTCCATGCGGCTTCACTTGCGAATGCGAAGAAAGGTTAAAAATTAGGGCAGTCTGAGACTGCGACATCGAAAACCGATCTTCTAATTTTTCTCACAAATAAAAAGCTTTCGGCAGGAACAATTTACTTTAGGTTTCTTATCCACCTAAAGGCTGTCTATGAACAAAAAATGAAAGAAATTGATTTTTCAACTCTTGCCACGAAATTAAGATTTTGGTCGATTTTTCCTGACCGTCGCTCTTAAGTAGACACTCCGTAAAAGACACTCACTAAATAACACACCAGTTTCACAAGCAGTCATGAATTCTGTGCTTCTGGTTAGGCTAAAAAAAGATTCTCAATGCACTACAAAACCAGTTCAAGAAGGCAAAACGTAGGCAACAAAACACAACCATGTAGAATATGGTATCTTTGAAAATTCCAAATTTTAAATTATTTCACTGATGTTAATTTCGTTTTCAGGTTCTACTATCTCCGCCCGGAGGTAACCAAGACAAGAACCAGAAGGTTAATCTTACGACAAGCAAACGATAATAAGGAATTAGGAATTAGTGGATTTGTTACGCTAAACATAATACAGCTAAAGTAAATCAAAAACCAGAAACCATGTGATTTACCTACTATTTCTGACGTGTTAAAAAAGACAGTATGAAGGGCCTACCAAAATTTAGTAGTACCGAACCGAGTTGAAATTACCGTCCTGAAATGAATGGAATGGGCCTTAAGTAACCGAATGGGAATAGTAGATTTCGTATGTTGTTGTTGCTGTTGTTTTTTTTTTTTTTGTTTTCCTTGAATTTTTGTCATGGAAGTGAAAAAAAATAAATAAAAAGGAAAAAGGCAAGAAAATGTTGCTGGAGGTGAGAATAGCATCAGTTCAAAATATCATATGGAACAGGCCTACCTGTGTTTGAATAAAGATCGCCACTTTTTTCAAGGAGTTTTCCTTTAAAAGTTTGTTGTTGTTGTTGTTTTTTTCTTTTTTTTTAGTTTTCTTTTGACCTATATCGCCTTAAACACCACATAATCCTTGAGTGTGTGCTTTACCTCCCAAAAATATGGGCTCTCGCCGATTATTCAGCGGGTACTGGACCAGCTACAACTGTACATGTCAAACAGTGTTTTCAAATGACCCTTTACATGGGCAATTGTAATCAACTGATGCCCAAAATAGCGAACATCTTTGTATTGGGTTTCAGACCATCGACAATGGATATAAAGAGAAGAGAGGACAATCAGCTCCTTAATTTGCTATAAATATATATATAAAAATTGTGTATCTCTATATAACAATAAGGGATATTGATTTTATCTCTTAACCCGTATAAGTGTCAAGTGTAACCTGATGTGGAATTAGTAGTTAATATAATGGTAGTATTGCATTACTTTGCAGTCTATACAGCAGGAACAAAAAAAGAAAAAAAAAAAAAGAAAAGAAAAGAAAAAAACAACAACAAAAACAATAACCGTTTGTATGTGTGTTTTTAAATGGCGCCTAAAATATGTTAAACTAGTTGCAATTACCCAATGCGCAAAATAGCTAGTGTGGTATTAGGTTTCAGCGCAACAATTGAAATGCTTTGAGTACTTTGCTATTACGTCCGAGATTTTTGGATTGATCAAGCCACCTACAAGCTAGCAAACGTGAAATCGAGTAGTAGCCAATAAACGATTGTGTTTTGTTGTGTCGACAATAATGTTCTTTCCGTTTCTAATAGTTAGCCTGTAGTTGATCATACTACTTGTTTATTAAAACGTTTTTTTTTTCTTTTATAGTTATTTTATTTTATATATTTGTCGGGTTAAAGTGCAGAAATATTCTGTTAATGATGGCTTGTCGGATGTAAATAAAAAAAATCTTTCTGCTATCATTCTTGCATTCAAATGATATATACTTTCTTTCAGATGTCTTTCCATTCAACACGTAAGGACAGAACATTTCCAAGTGCTATACCTGGTGACATAAGCGTTTATCCCCCTTTCTTTGACTGCCAGTTAGAATATCTCGTTAATGGGCTATCTATCGAGGATATTGCTGTGTTTGGATAAAATATAATTATCTGCCTTAGTGCCTTTACTCATACACAAAATGCCCCTGTAGAGTTTATATGAAGAGGATCCAAACATATTTCATCAGGAAGCACTAACAACTATATTTATATGTTGTAGTGATTTTTTTGCAAGCATGTAGCGGTAGATGAAAGGAAACAATTAATCTAGCAAAAAAGTATAGTACTAAATAACAAAATTGGACCATTATTTTTAGAACTTAACAACTATCGCAAGAGCAATATAGGAAGGACAAACACGTATTGACTTTCAGATCAGTGCTTTTAATGGATCTAGCAAGTGAATAAAAGGGCATAGAAAAATGTGGTTGCCCATTGTATTCTGCAACCCTGAAAGCTGTAGCCATCATGGGCTTGAAATTCTGGCTTGTAGCAGTTTTACTGCTGGTTGCTGCAGTTGAATGTCAAGGTAAGATATTTAAACAAAGGTTACAAGCGGTAACTTTTTATCGTCCAACCTTGCTCCTGCATGTATGCCCAGTTGTGTGGCAATGAGTACTGATGCAGGGGTAATTTAAGAAGCTTGAGGGATGAAAGCTTTTCATTTAAAGTAAAATGAAAGGACATATTCACGAATAGTCAGTGGGTGCTCAAATGAGGCTGGCGATAAATTGAGCAATTCCTTTTTTAGTATCAAATGGCCTTTGCGAGAATCAGTACTCTGATACAAAACCTCTTCCAAATAAATCGAGTCTAATGTCAACAACGAAGCATCGGAAAGTTCATCTTGGAATTGTTTTTAAAGGAAATTCAAATGATAAAGAAAAAATAAATCCCATGAAGTGACCCTTTGGTTAATTAATTATATATGGAACACGTTTCGAGATTTAATAGTTATGCTGTCTATTTAATTTTACTAGTTTTTACAAAACAATTTGAACAAATTGCAACGTTTTGTTGTCGCTATTTTTTTGTTGTTAATAATTGTATATTATCATTAGTATCATTATTTACTTAGTTTTATAGTGGCCTTTGCGATCATTTGTACGCGCGGGAGGTGTTAAAAACAGCCGCAGCAAATCAAAATTTTCTGTCTGAAATTGCTCTTGAAATTCAAAGCTATCAAGCATTAATCTGACAAAATGATCCTTTTGCTTAGAAGTAAGTGCACGTAGCAGATTTCTAGATATTATTTCTGCTGTCCGGCCTTTCACTCTTGATAATAATTCTGAAATTAACTGACATTTTTTTTGTTTTTTGTTTTTTGTTTTTAATGCAGCGTCACCCTTACTTGAACACGGTAAGTTCATACATTCTTAAAACTGCAAGCCTACAGTTTTATATTCATGGCGTCGGAAAGTGAATATCGGAGTAAGGAAGCAAATGACCACGACGCGGGTTATCATCTGAGTAAACGAGCCTGGTTAAAAAAAGGACTGCTCTCATTTTTCCACGAACTTTGTTTCACGTGTTTTAACTTTTGTGCGTTGAACTTTCTTTTTTTTTAGATTATGAGGTAGACAACGATCGGAAAGAACTGTTTGATGACTCAAAAGAAATTGGTAAGGAAAACTGATGTTCGTAGAGGTTTAGAAATGCTATAGGAAGAGTGATTATCAGCACAGTGTTAAGATATTTGAACAGATCCGTTTTTACTCTTGCTTATGTTTTCGTTTAAGGGTGGGGGGAGGGGGGATTACTTCCGGTATGTTACAGATAAAGAAGGGAACAAGCTACATTGTACTTAATGTAAACCGAATAAGTTCATGAACGAAAAAACGACATAGACTGTAGTAGCTTTTGTACCAAACTGCCTCAAAATTCCACCTCCAGCAAGCTACCACCCAAATTGCAAAGTTTTGGTGGTCGCTTACTCAACCCTGAATGGAGTGGTATATTTATTCTTAAAAAAATGATGAAAGTTTACTTTCCCATGCCTATTACTGGTAGTTTTATTGGTAAGATCATTAGCTATTCTCTGTGACAGTTCATTTACAGAAGTGCGTCATAAATTTGTGGTTAAAGAATTTTACTTGTTCCCATGACTTATTGTACAGATATGCCCCTAAAACGTCTAAAGAACAAAGACCTAAAAAAGAAACCTAGCTAGTTTACAGTAAGTTGCACTAAATTCGGTATGGCATTATACTTTCCCTATAATTGCTGTTTTTATTTTATCGCTGTTATCAATATCATTATCGTTTTCTTTTCTTTTTTTTTTTTTTTTTTTTTTTTTTTTTTTTTGTCATTATCATTATTTGTCGTTTTTGCTGATATTCTGCAGTGAAGTTGTAGTTTTATAACACAGCGTGCGTCCAAGTCCTATATTTACGCTGGTTCGTAAATAAGATGACGCGTTTAGTGTTATTAGTTTTTTTTTTTCCTCAACTAGTGTCCAATAAGTGAAGACCATAATAAACAACGTTCTAGCATTTTTTTTTGGGAAATGAGCTTCTAGCCACTTAAGTCAAAAGCAAAACCGGCGAAGATCTTTCGTTGAGACCCTTAAAAGTCTGGCGTTAAGACTGACATTCAGCTGGATCAGAAGCATGCTTCTGGCTGGCGGAAAAACCACATCTAATTATAAAGTGCTCTCCGTTTTTAACGCTTCTTTATCCTTTTGAAATCAAGTAAATTATAAAGAACTACCGAAAACGTATCCCCTTTTGCTATAACCGACCAATTCTAGGCGGGAAAATATATCTTGCAATATCACGTGAAATTGCTTATTAAATAAAAACAACTGCAGCCAGGTCCCCTAAACCTGCCCCAAGAAGTCTTTAAGACCACTACATGTATGACTTCTTGCACTTTCCGCATTAATGAGTAACGTAGGATGACAGTCGTTTTCGCAAAGCAGAAATTACTTTATTGGATTTTGCCAGGCAAAACAGCAAAAATGGTTTCAACGAATCTAAACCACACCCCACGCCTTCTCACGAACTAGGTGGACTTTAAGACTCTTTTACCTTTGTTTCTGCTTTGTTGACATTGAAAATTAACGAGTTAATGAGCGACGTTTCACGGTCAGTTTGTGAAAAAGAATTTTCATACAAACTACTGTAGACGATTGTGGCGTGTTTATAACCAGCCAATGGAAGCGTTTGTTTTTCTGTGCCGCGCCTTACGAGATTTTACAGTTAATCAAAAAGCAAGCATTTTTGTTAAGCTATACTTTTGAAAATAATTGGTTCATACTTCTAGTTGTGAGTATATCTAGTTGTGGATGTACTTGGAAAAGTTTGGAGAGCACTCAAGAAGCTAGAGTTGCTCGAGGAGTCTAGTAACTCGTGCTCGCTAAACTTCCTGTGTGTATCCATAACTAGACATGAGCACGCTAAGCATAAACCAATTCTTACGTCCCATCCATGTTAGACATTACCTTGCTTATTTGACTAATTCATTAGTTTCAATTGCTTCATTTATTCATCAAGGTGAACCTGAGGATATTATAGACAAAGAAGGTAAATTTTTTGATTTACTTAAATTTTATCTGATACAATTGTATAAGCGTACTAATTCAAACGAGCTACTTTTGTGCAATCCATTTTCTGCCTAAATAAATATCTTCTTTTCAAACGTATTTCCTTTAGATGTTCCTAAAGACGGTCTAGAAGTTACAGGTGTTTTGAACATTTTATTTTCAAATCAACTTATTTGTCTTGTGCGTCCATTCACGTGATCAATATTAAATGATTCGAAGCTAACAAGATCAGTGAGTGAACTGTTACGTTGTAAAGATCTTTGACATCGAAGGGTACTGTGCGAATGTTCCATGCGATCATTTAAGCCCATACAAGCGCTGCGTTAGGATACCTTACATTCAAACTTGCGCTATGAATATATATGAACAACGACAAGAAATTAAAGTCTTTTTTTTTCGGAATTCTGTGAATTTGTTTTACAGAAAATGTAAATTAAAATGAACAAACATCGTTTAAATAAAATGACAATTGTTAGACCACGTACTGAGACTTTTATTTTCTGTAAATTTTAGATTTACTTGAATTAATAATTCATACTAAACTATGGAAACTTTTAGTTTTTGAACTTGGCATAATGATTGTTAAGCTCTATGGAAGATTAGCTAAATAGTGCTATATAAATTATTTATTATTATTATTATTATTATTTTTATTATTAAAAATGTTAATGATGAGGAAAATTTACGATTTACTATACTTGTACTAAGCTCACTTAATTGAAGTAAATTTAAGCTTGGGTGGCCTTATCACGATTGACGCCCGTTGAAGATTTATTCTCATTAAAATTGACCTTTCACAAAGGAATGAGATTTGGAATAATTCTGTAGAATACTTCATGGGAGGTGCGAACATGCGGTATTCACGCAAAATAATATAAACAAAAACAAAAAGGTACGCTAATTATATGAAATGGCCGGTTTGAATGTTTGTTATCGATCTGTTTGTTTGTTGGTTTTTGCGTTATTTTTTTCGCCGTCTGCTGTTGTTTTATAGGCTCTAGAAAGTTTCTTTTTTTTTTCAGTGGCAGTAAATTATACGCGGCTATTCTATTCCCAATTCCGATCTGTTGCTCAATTTCTGCGAGAACAAAATCTACTTGATCGCCTTAACAAAAATTCTTGCTGAATCACATATTAAAAACATCGTTCGGTTCTCTGATTGGCTAGAACTCATATGCATACGAAAATTTGCGACATTTTTTTCCGGTGAGTGTATCTTAGTATGTGTATTATGAATATACGTAAGAAACTGTTCAGTAGCCTTTTTAGTACAAACCCCCCTCAAAAATTATTATTTTGGAAGTCTCAATGCATCCGAGTTAGGACAACTCTACGTACAATATACTGCTTTGTCTTAAATGTCTTGAATCCCCCCCCCCCCCCTTTCTTTTTTTTTTCTTAATTTCTTTAATTTCATTTCCCTTTTTGTTATTCTTAGATTATGAAGCTGACAACGTTAACGAACCTAAAGCGCTAGCACTGTTTGATGATTCAGAAGAAGATGGTAAGGGCAACTGATATCGTTCGTATTTTGCCAGTTAATAGTGAGATAGAGAACTACAAGGGGTACTACTACGATCACGGGTTATTTGTGATTTGGGTCTCCATTGGCCAGTTTACAGTATGAAATTTAAACTGTTTGCGCGGGTCACAATGCTAGCGCAAGACTTCGTCTCATTCAGAATGACGCAATAAAGGGTGCTACGATTCTTAATTCTAATAACCTTGCGCGATTTTTTCAAATATTGGCGAATTTCCCTCAAATAACGTGAAACTAGGAATTTTTTCGTCGCAAGCTTAGTAACGGCAAAGAGATGTACAAATATTGTGTTGAAAAGGGTTAGGCCTAAAGGCCTTGGCAGCACACCTCTATCCAAACTTTCTTTCAGGGTCCTTAGTGGGCTAACCTGACACGGGAATGATCCTATGATACACTATAATAAGAATCGCAGCTATAGGAATCCAGGGTCGAAATAAGACCATCGGCATTGGACGTTGTAAAGCCCTTGAGATAAGGATTTGAAGAAGGGGAGACAGTGTTTCTGTGACGAAAGTAAAGGGATTGAAGCCTATTTGTGGCCATTTTATGGTTTTTTAATGTTGGTACCGGGTTTTGCTCAGTATAATTTATTACATTAATTTTCACCATTGAAAGAACTAAACCACACCTTTAGCCGGAGCCATAAATCATCATTTTGGGTGGTTTAAAGGCAAAAAGCAACAAGGGGGTGTGAAATTTTTAGAATATTATCTTTCAAAACCGTTCTCGAAGATTTTTTTTTTCAAACCTTGCCAAGCTCAAGGCTCACAACAGTCTAAACTAGTAGAGCAGTCAATGATTCAACAGATTATTACTAGAACATGATTTTGAGACAATTCCCAATTTGAAAATTCTATGACATCGATATTCTGTTGTTGTTCAAGCGGTGATGTCAACTAACAACAACAACACACAAATTAAAATTAAGCTCAATGTTAGATATATCCTTTGCTTACAGCCAAAACGTTATGGGCATCAAATAATAAGGGGTGAGAGCTTGAAATGGGTACGAGCCTCTTTAAACTCCCTAATTATGCATTACTTTAGAGGCAGCAGCTCTCACAGTGGTAACGTCTTTACATTTTTTTTTTTCGTACGTTTGACTTTTGCTAAGAATATAGAGTGTTTTCACATGACATCAAGGCGGCAATATTGGTGTTCCAAAACAATGAAGCGACGGCCATGGTGATGTTCCAAACCGTTCCTGCAGGAATTGAACTCTTTTCTTATGTAAATGCTGTCTCTTGTTTAAATTTGTATAGTTGCTGGTAACGTGAGTAAAAACGCTCTAAAAAAAAAACAACGACTAGAAAATAAATTCTCTATGCTAAATTACGTGAATTTCTTTCAACCCCCGGACTTACAAGGGAAAGGGGGTGGATGTCACCTCCTTTAAGGTTTTTTTTTTTTTTTCTGAGGATTTTCCTAGTTTTTCAAGACGATTAAAGATTAGCACTTGAATTTTTCAGTAGCTGTTCGTTTTAAAATCTCTCTCGAGCATTTTGATACAAGTTTACTGATGGTCAGTTACTGTGGTTACAGATATGACGTCATAAGTACCAGGTGGTCAAGCTATTTTGGAGTGAAAATACATTTTTTTTTTCAACTTCTTTCAACGATAAAGTAAATCTTGTAGATAAAATGAAGTGAATTGCTTATTCATGTGTTATTCTGATAGATAATGAGCATGTCAAACACAAACAATTACCAATTCGCGCCGTTTTCACGTGACTTCTAATTCTTAGTAAAATGCAAGATCGCGGCCAAGATGGCAACCATGTTTCGTAACATCACAGGCCTCCATCAGGGTGACCATCGATAAAATATACCTTATCTTGTAGGGAAGATCAAAGACTTTCTACTGAGGGTAAATTTTTTTCGAAATACTGCAACATATACAAACTCTAGGGAGAGGTTCCATTAATCCATTCCCCTTGCACCATGGGGGGTATCACTTTACGTATAAATCCGGGAGTTAAAGGAAATGTAAACTTTAATGAACTGTAAACTTAAATGAGCAAGCGTTATTTTCATAAAATGACCGTTTACTATTTTTTTTTAACCTCTACGTACTTCATTACTTAATTCTATGAAATTTATATTTCTCTTTGTCATTTTTACCGCCTGCGCCAGATCGATCGATTCCCATTACAACAGACCTTCCACACAGGACTGACATTTCGTATTTGTAGAATACTTCATGATAGTTTTGCACGTACTGTATTTACGCACATGTTAGTGACGTATCAGAAATCGAACGAGTGAGCGCAGCGAACGAGTGAGATTTTTTGATACAAAAACAAGGATAGAAAGCGCTTTCCATGTAGTGTTGCTTTTGCTATGTACATCCTTTTTTAGTGATCCTTTGAACCTTTGTCTGGAATTGTATTTTGCTTTTTTATTATTTCTAGATTATGAAGCTGACAATGAAGCTAAAGCAATGTTTGGTGATTCAGAAGAAGATGGTAAGGGCAACTGACAATCGTTTCTATTTTGTCAGTTAATAGTTGTGGGATAAAAGACTTCTATGGGTCCTACAACCACGAGTTATTTGTGATTTGGGTCTTCATTGGCCAGTTTACAGCCACACGAACCCACAATGTGCAAAACTTCGGCACATTCAGAATGACGCAATAACTGTGCTACAATTAGAAATTCTAATAAACTTGAGCAATTTTTCAAAAGGGTACTTACAAGTTAAATCGTTTTCATCGACATGCATGTATGTTGGCTATGTGATGATTGTCAACTTGTAAAAATTACCGTTGTGCACCATAAAGTGCAAGGACGTAAAGGTAGAAGAAGTCAGAGTCAAATATGCTTCTTTTCTTGCACCTTGTCGTGGTCATTATCCTTTGACCTGGAGGGGGAGGAAGAGCAGATATCCATGTAGAAGCAGGCAAGTTTCGATGACACCCGGCTTAACACAAGCTGGTTCGCACACATCCTGACAAACATAAATCAGGATCGAAACGCCTAAATGGCGTCAGGACAGAAATAATCACAGCAAACTCAATAGTTATTGTGCTGCTCACATGGGGGCTTGCAGCATTGAGGTATAGAATGGAGATAATTGGCTTAGCATTTTTTTTATTTGTTTGTTTATTTAGCTTTCTTTCTTTTTGCACAAATTTACCCCATTCAACGAATACGTTTCATGACTTCTTCAGTAGCAGAAAAACACACGTCGATATATAACCTTTTAGTTCTTATAAACAAACTTAGTCATGTGCTTTCGTTATTAATTCATTCAGGTGAACCGGAGGATATTGTGGATGAAGGTAACATTTTGAACAGTTATCATTCAACAGTTATCATTCAAACGAGCAAATTGTGTGCAAATGATATGTTTTCTGAATTACCTCCATTTGCGTTTATTATTGTTATAATTATTATTATTATTATTATTATTATTTGTTTTTGTATATATCCTTTAGAGTGTGCTTAAAATGGTCCAGGCAAAGCAGGCGCGAGAAGATAAACTTTACTCAACTAAGTAGCTTTGTGCGTCCAATTGTATATCGGCCTTTAAACTGATTGAAAATTTATCACATCGAAAACAGGACGCAGTGCTTAACTTTTTCTATGTATTTACAAGTACAGGCTGTATGTAAATACTTGAAGTCCTTCACTTGGACTGTATGTATCTATTTATTTAGTCTTTTACAATTGCAAAAGATGGGAAGTAAGTTTCATCCTTTGCATTTGAATTTTGCTCTGTATATTTTATGAATTGAGCACTCCTAGGATAAGTGAAAATATATATGTATATATATTTTTGGTTCACTTAATTTAGTGTTTCATTCATTTTTATTCCTCCTCAGACATTTCTGATGTCGTGGTATCTGAAACTGGTAGGTATTGTTTGTTTGTTTTTTTCTTGCAGGTTTACTTTGTTGATTTTGTTTGTGTTCGTTTGTTTGTTTGTTTGTTTGTTTTTTTTTTGGCAAAGCTTTCGGTTAAAAAACTATATTGTCTATTTGTACTCCATTTATCATTTATCATTCAGTACTAAACATGATACATGTTAATATTGATATGGTTAGAATACTTACATGATTACGACAGTGGACGTAAGAAAATTTTCCATTTGTTCCAAATTCATTCTTAGATGAACCAGTTGACCAAACAGATGAAGAAAGTGGTGAGTTTTTATCCACTTACGTGTATTAATTACCCTTAACAGTCCATGTCCCAATTTCAGTGGGAACAAAACTCAAGAAATGCAGCTATTTCCATTGCGGAAAAAATTGAATTATCCAAGAATGATTCAAAAAGTAAATATTTTGTAGGCCTCGTTCAGCTGTTTAGGATAAAAATAAACTGTTAAATGAAAGTGCGAGAGCTACTGGCAAATATCATCTATTGTATGTAGTAAAATCGTTCACCTTAATTCCACACCAAAAGAGTCACATGGAATTTTTTATTAATTTTGATTTAAAGCTGCAATATTCGTCACATTTGTTGAAACAATAATCACGTTACGCCCTCGCCAATTTTGATTCACCTATCACCCATTTGCAAAAAAAACGCTAATCTCAACATTAGAAAAGGAAAGAAGAAGTACAAACAGGGAAAGTTAGATAATTTAGTTTAGAAGGCGTGACATGAAAAAAAACCTCACTTTCAGTCTAGTGTTCCAACGAAATTTGATGAGTATTGTATTCGGTTGCTGGCTACAAAAAAGTAGTTTTTTTTGCGTGGATCCCTCTTAGTTTAACGGGTTAAAACCATGATTAGGGCACTTGTTGGACACAAACTGAGTTAGAGAAGTTCAATGGCCGGCTCTTTTTATGGATATTATGATAAAATGGACTAAGAACATGCGTTTGAACATGTTTAATTTATTTTATTAATTCATTTTATCATTATTATTATTATTATTATTATTATTATTTGTTTTAATGAAGAAAAAGGTTCACTTGTTGTTTTGAGGAATGAAATTTACAATAAACTATTCCCTCGCGTACACATCTAAAGCAGAAGGTTTTGCTTCCAGATTTGTAGAATATATGCCTAATTACAATCAGAACAGATATTACTACTATTATTATTATTATTATTATTATTATTATTATTATGTTATATATACATGTATCCGATTCTGGAAAACGAGCATAACTAAATTTACAGCCATTTGTATAAAAAAAAAGAGCCCAAAGGCAGAAAGAGCGAGGCGCACGAAAGTAGGATAAGAGAAAAAACAAACAAACAAACAAACAAACAGACAAACAATGGTTACATTCTTAGTTTTTATTATAATTAGGCTACTTTGGATTTCTTCTATTTGTAGTTTTTGGCCGAATAAAAAAACTGTTTAACTAAAGAGGTCTATTTGGCGCTAAAAGTTTTCAAACATCATGGTAAATATACAAGTTACAAATTTATAGCCTCTATATGTTTCTAAATACAAGACTTTCAATATTTCGTTTCTAGATGACACCGTGGGAGATCTGAATATGCAAGGTGTGTATTTGGGCTGTGTATAAAAGAGATATTCATTTATTTATTATTAATTTTGTTAATTTCAGGAAGAGTTTTGCTACTTTGTATTTAACGAATCTATTTAGCAGTCTATGTAAATACGGGAATTCTTGATATGTTAGAAAACTTAGACCACCGCATCGGCCTTTAAACTTTACTAAGATAGCTGTTTTATTATGCAAGAATATGGCAAAAAGGACTATTTCGAGGAAAACGGAAGAGGGCTCCCCCCCCCCCCCCCCAAAAAAAAAAAAGAAGAAGAAGAAGAAGGTACTGTCTTCATATTCGCAACCTTATTTTTGTCATTATTCGAACAAAAGATCCACGGCGACGTAGAAGATCTAGAAGACCTCGTGGAAGACGGCAACGAGGAAGACGACGACGTAGACAACGTGGAAGGCAAAGGAGGCGTGGACGAGGACGTGGAGGACGTGGGAGACGTCGTAGACGATCTAGGCGACGTAGAAGACCTACTCGTAATCGAAAAGGTGGGAGGCGAAGACGATTAAGATCTGGAGGTCGCAGACGAAGGAACAAAAGTGAGTATGGAGGGAAAATATTTTTGGAATGTAAACTAGCTTTCATTCAAACTATAACGATAAGCCAGGTTCACACGTGCAACGTAATTGCAAACGCAAATGCAAATGCACACGCAAGCAAATAAGCAAATACACTGGCGACACACAAACAAAAATATTTCACTATATAATGCCAGTTTGATTGACTGATTTCAATTTATAAGTTTTACTGTGAGCAATCTCTGGAGTGTCCATCGACTAAATCTCGGTCCTGCAATTTGGGATGAAAGTGCCTGGCACGTAAGCGATATTCGTTATTTTCTGTAGGTTCAGGTTGCATGTTTTTTTTTTTTTTTTTTTTTTGCTAGATGTCCTTACAGGATTTCGCAAATAAATTATGTAGATGTAGATGTAGATGTTCACGGAGTACGATGCACGTTCACCAACAAGTCCGTCCATCTTGGTCAGCTCACGTTACGGCACTAATACTGATAAATTATTACACTAATATGTGATCTTTTATCCCGTTGGTTTTGTCTTTTTTTCTAGGTAGATCTCGGAGACGCTGCTTTGCGCAGATTTGCTCTAGCCATACTCGTAACAGGATAAGAGGATCGGATGCACACGGAAGCGGAGCGTGGGGAGCACCACGGTAAAGTTCCGGACTTTAATTAAATACATCTGGTTAAATTGCCCCGCGCGGGAGGACGGGGGGCGGCGGGGGGGGGTGAGGAGGAGAGGGTACTCTCTTTGTATTTGGCTTGATTTGGCCTATATCGGAATGAGCGCTTGACAGGGTGTAGGGTACACAATTTCACTGTTAAACATCTTGAAAAGGGTGTATTTTGGGACTTGAGAGATTAAATTGGTAGAATCAAAATCGTTTTCTTAAAAAAAAAAGAAAATATGTTCCATGATGTTAGTTTTTAAAATATATCCAATTCTGGACGTAAAACGAAACGAATCAGGGTCCTTATATAAAGCTGCTTGTCTTAAACGGGGTATCGAAATAAAGAAAAATATATATTTGTCTTGAACAGAGGAGGTACACCTCTATTCAAACTTCCTTTCAGGGCGCTTGGTGGGCTAATCTGACACAGGAATGACCCTATGATAAGCCATGATAAGCACCTCAACTATAGGTGACCCAAGCTCGAAACAGAACCGACCATCGACATTGGACGTAGGATGTATAGCCTTGGGAATAAGGATCTAAATGTGGGGGGGGGGGGGGAGAGTCGATTGTTTGTATTACGAATGTGAAGGGATTAAAAGAAAATAGACGTGTGCTTTTTTGAGCCATTTTATGGATTTTGTAACGTTTTAACCGGTTTTGTGCTCTCTATAATCTGTTATATTAATCTTCACTATTGAAAGTACATAACCGCACCTTTAGCCCGGTATACTAGTAAATACAGATAGTACCGACGTAGACTAAAGCCAAAGTGCAGCAATGGGGCACCACAAAAGAAGGGGTGAGAGCTTTAAAAATGGGTGCCAACCTCCTTAAACTCCTAATTATGTTTTATTGTAGAGGCAGCCGTACTCACAGAGGTATTGACGTCATATGTAATGCTGGTTCCTCTGTTTATGCACCTTTTTCTGCTAAAGTGATTAGAGAAAGCAGACCTTATGGAAACGGCAAGCCGCATGACACTGGTATTTATATGGAAGGAACTGGAGATTGGACCGGTAAATATTTTTTAATATTTGATGTTAATGAGACTAAGTGAAGTTCAGTTTGGTCGTAATCAAGTTCGTGTGATTATTTATGAAATCGTCCTTCTTGACTTGAGCAGTAATCGAAAACAAATCGAAGACTACTCATCAAAGTTTGAATCCAATATTTTTTCACTGGTAATCTTGATTAGAAGTAATTACTGATGCTGTTTCTTATTTAGGCTATGCTGTAATGATGTTTTACGTGACAAAAGGGATCGGCAATGGTGCCTCCGTTTCTGCACGAGGGCGGATTGGGTCCATGACTAACATGGCCGCTCAATATTCTCGGGGTATGACAAATCACATCCACGTGCAGCTTTACAGGAATGGGGGAATAGTGAATCCGACACCTTACCTAAACTGCTGAGGTAAAGCTATTTTTACTAACACAATACAGACATGTAACATAAAACTATCCCCCGTGATACGTACGATCATGAGGGGGGTGGATGTTTTAGTATTCACTAAATATGTGTAAGATAAAAAATGACCAAGTAACTTTTGTAAATATAGCTGAGACGTCAGTCACTGCTCGATGCCCACCACATGGATTAACCGACACTACACTATACATTCTCCCCTACATCCTTTAACACGTAAGTCCCCTGGGAGACTTAATTACACACCTCTACCCAAACTGAAAGCACAGCACCAGCTGACTAATTAACCTGACGCGGGAATGATCCCATGATAAGCTTCGCAACTAACGGTGACCAAAGCTCGACCATCGGCATTGGACATTGTATAGCCTTCGAGATAACGATTAAAAGAGTTGTGTGTTTCTTCTTTCCTTTGTGATTCTCGAGCCCATTTAAGGCCATTTCATGGGTTTTTATAATGTTGGAACCGGTTTATTTTCTCTAATGTATACGTCCTCAACATCCTGTAACACTAATTTCCCCGGGAGACTTAATTACAAGAAAAACTAAAAAGCTCTTAGACACTCACTAAATAGCACAGCAGTTTCACTAGCATTCATAAATTCTTTGTTTCTGGTTGTCAGGCTAAAAATGTTCTCAATGCGTTGCAAAACCAGCTCATAAACTAAGGCAAACTATTTTTGCAACAAAACACAACAGCCATGCAAAATATGGAGTCTTATGAAAAAATTCTGAATCTCAAACTCGATCAATTATCTCAATTTCGTTTTCAGGTTCTACAGTCCTTGCCTGGGAACAGCCACAGTGATCAAGCAAGACTAAAGACCCGAAACATTTCTTATACGCAAACAAGAATAAATAATTAATAATTAATTGATTTGTCATGCTAGACATAATTATTGTAACTGAAATAAGGCAATAAAGGTGAAGTAGAAAAGCAACGCAATCAAAAATAGTAAATTTTTTCCACATACAAATTCATCACTTTTTCTTCGTTTAAAAGATTAAAATGCAGGGTACAGTATTGTATACAACAGACGCTGACTCTTTTAGGGAGGAGGGAGAAATTTCGAGGACGCGCGCGTTAACCGTTCCCTGCCACTCACAATAATGCAGTCTCGACCTCCTGTTATTATTGGCCAACGCATAAGATAGGCACGTTTAACGTGCATGATCTATTTTGAATGTTCAAGTATAACCGTAGCAAGAATCTTCCTTTTTAGACTGCTTTTTGTGCGGAATTGTGTATTGCTGTACACGAATGAACACGCGAAACTTTACGCACAGCTAAGTCCCATCCGCATGCTAGAGATTCACTATTTTTGTCTTTCCCTCAGACATCTAGTCCAAATAAAACACAACGAGTATTAACTCTCTAAAAGCTGCTTAGGGGGAAGCCTCGAAGGTTTCTACGGAACTTCCTAAGATAAGCCAGCTTATCGAATTACTAATAGTTAAGAAAGGTCACGCTTTCCATCGTTGTGGTAGGTAGCTGCATCGTCATTACAAAAAAGGTTCTCACATGCGGTTCCCTTTCGAAGCTAGGAGGAGACCTCTCACTAAATAACCCGACAAAGCGCGCGTGTTGATTCCTATGTGTAGTTGAGTGCTAATTTTCGAAGAGAGACGTTACTTTCGGGTAACAAATTTCATCGTTGTTAATATCGTTGTTACTCGTTTCAGAATTGGGACTTTTGGTGTAGAGCTGGGGGAGTTGTATTGTTATCAAATATCGCAACTTTTTATTCATTTAATATTACTCTCTAGGAAGGATTGTCCCCCAAAACCTCACGGAACTAGGGGGACAACCGACTTTGCACCCACAACTCACGACCCAAGTCTTTGCACCCACGACCCACGTCTTTGTACCCACGACCCACGACCCACGACTATTAGTTACTATACCGTATCTAGTCCTTCATTGCAGGCGATTCCTTTGATCAGACTTTTCCTTTCAATGTTTTAACATTTGACATTAATCATATATCTAATGGCCTTAAAATTACGCAATCAGTAGAAAAATTAATTGCACAAGGAAAAGTGAGCTCATTTTACACACTGAGTTTTTTTTAAAGCTGAGATGGCTCACGAGACGTTATTTGCATATACTTTTCAATAAACAAATTGCCACAAAATAACTACGTACGTGCCTGACGAAGTTTTACGATGCTACCACAAAAGCTTCAAAAGATAGAATACCTCCTCAATTTTCACTAAATAAGTAGAAACCCAAGCTTGGCATTTTTACTGAGTTTCGGGCGAAATGTCAAATGTATTTAGCAGTTATTAAGGTGACTCGACCCAGTTTTTTTTTGGAGGGGGGGGGAGGAATACCATCCTACTTGGAAGCTCTCTGGTATCCCCACCTTTACTTTTATGGTAAGTCTAACACATAGAATGGATAACGTATAGATCAATCTACAATATAACATAAAATTTTTGGCGATGGGAGTAATTGTCACGTGGTTATAATGCCACGCCTCTTTGAGGTCTGAGTCGAAAATCTGCTGTTGCCTGCATTCTTTCGTGGAAATCTGTCGGCTATACATAGTGCGCATCAGTGCCTTGCGCTGAACAGAGTTTTACCAAAATCGCAAAGACCCAATTCATAATTTATGCGAGAATGATAAGCAAACTTTACACGATTATATCTAATAAACTGTGAGACTTATCCCTTTATTTTGGGAATCGTTATAACAGATGGGCCCTTTCAAGTCAGCAAACAGCTTTACGGTCTTATAAATGCGCGCTATTTCGAGCAAAGCAAACATATAGAAATTAAAATTTTCGCTATTTGTTGACGTTTGTCAGCGTTGAAGAGTCCTTCTCACGAAAAAAGCATTTTTTTTTTTTAATTTACACGATTATATCTAATAAACTATGAGATTCATCCCTTTATTTTGGGCATCGTTATAACAGATGGGTCCTTGCAAGTCAGCAAACAGCTTTAGGGCCTTGTAAATTCGCGCGATTTCGAGCAAAGCAAACATATAAAAATTATAGTTTTCGCTATTTGTTGACTTTTGTCAGCGTTAAAGAGTCCTTCTCACCAAAAAAAGCATTTTCTTAAAAACTCGTAGTTTTTTTTCCTTCAATTTTTTTCAGGGCCACAATTGATTAACTAACTACCAGGATTCTGAATTTCATGGTCATTGAAAAACTGTGACATTATCTTCTATAAGCCCAAACTTGAGTAAACATTGAAGATTTTTAGCGTTTTGGCTGAGTTTTTGCTTTGAAAGTTGTCTATTGTTTCTAGTCTGTCATTATACAGCATTCTTGCTCAGCACGCGTGCAATGACCACTCTTGGCTGACTTCCGAATGCTCACCGAGATATGATAATTTAGTATGAGAAAATAAAAGGGATTCCAGTCACTAGTTGGTTTAATTATTGGCTTGATATTTTTTTTTAATAGTAAGTAGATTTAGTGTTAGCACTTCTTGATTTTTTTTGCAAAGGCACCAGAAGTACGAGAATTGATTAAAAATTGTGAGTTAAACCTCCATGTATCACGCGATGGCCTGTCTCACTGTACCAAAATTATCATATCTCGGTGAGCACTCGGAAGTCAGCCAAGCGCGGTCATTGCACGCGTGCTGAACAAGAATGCTGTATCATGACAGACTAGAAACAATAGACAACTCCCAAAGCACAAACTCAACCAAAACGCTAAAAGTCTTCAATGTTTACTCAAGTTTGGGCTTATAGAAGATAATGTCACAGTTTTTCAATGACCATGAAATTCAGAATCCGGGTAGTTAGTTAATCGATTGTGGCCCTGAAACAAAAAAAGGTGCAATCTTTTAGAGCCGTTGTCAAATGACCCATTTTTTTGTGCAAGCTTCTGACCCTGGTGCATCCATATTAAGTTACGGCAAAGAAATTGTTTGAATAGAAATGATGACCATAGTGATTACAGACTTATATGATGATCAAACCAGACACTTTCTTTCAAGTTTAAATGCATTTATTTTTATTTTAATACAGCGATGGACTGTTTCATTGTTATTTTATTAATTTCTAAACTAATTTTATAGCATTATAAGCGACTAAATTCGGACATAAGAGTTTGTAAGCTTGTTTGTTTTCTGGACGTCTGCCTCGAAACTCGTGGAACCTTATCTGGGTGACCTGTATTTAAAGAAAAAAAAAATGAAATCAACAACCGCAACTAAAACTTCTGCATAATGATACGACTGAGGTGTTATCGTTTATTCTTTCCTCCCTGATGAGTTTAAACTAGAAAGATTCACATACTCAAATGGCTTGATGGGAATCAATGAGCTTAACTTTTTTACATACTACGTTTCTTTTTTAATTATTATTATTATTATTATTATTTTTTTTTTTTCTTACTACTTAATGAACAGTAACAAGGGCTCACTTAGTTGTCGTTGGCATTCTCGTCTCCATAAAAACAACGACGAAGGCAGAGGCGTACGCAGGTTCGTCGCCTTATCTGTCCCAACTTGCCCAATTTTCTGGTGAAACATTTTCGTACTAATTTCCTGCAGCGACGGCGAGGGCGACGACTGCGACCCTTCCCTGAAAGTTACACAGCAATAACTATTAGATGTAAAGATTAACTATTAGATTTAAAGATTGTGAAAATTGTGGGGATAGCGGTATAAGAGGGTAGGCACCCTCTTTTACTACTCCCCCTACTCAATCACAAAACAAACAGGAAGCAAACTGGAGTACCCTGTTTGAAGGACATTGCTCTTTATGAAAGATACATGTTGGAAGCTGGCTAAAAGGAAAATAAAGGTTGGGAGGAATTCTTTGCTTTTGAAGCTTCAGAGTCTAAAGTATGATCATGAGTGACAAGAGCACCATGACTTGGAGTACATTTAATTTTCGACACATTTCTGACCTTAATGATCAGATCCGCCGTATTCTTGGAAGCGTGTAAGCTTTTTTTTTTTTTCTATAGTTTTTTTAGGGTACCCGAAAGAGTTTTTGTGCAAGACCCAAGAGGTTCTCCTCCTCCAAAGGCCCAAAAATGTCAGAGGCTGCTCAAAGAAGCACACACAGCCAAACATTGACCGGAACGAAGAGAACCAAGTCAGTTCGCTAACGAGAAAACAGTTAAGACTGTGCCTGTAGTAGCCCCTTCATCAAGTCAGTAGAGGGAAAGAGGGAGGGAGGGAAAGTTGTTCACCTCCTGAGTTATTTTTGTACTGGGCATGACTCAGAAATCAAAGGAAGTGATGAAAATGACTCAGAGCGTCAATCCAGTGATTCAAAGGACAATTCAGATGGCGATACGCAATCGGACTGTTCTGACTGTTTTGAGGTAATGTTCCAGACGCAGCGTTCGATAAACGTTACAGTACAAAAGCAAAGAATACATGTAAATATAAGCCGAGGGGGGAGGGAGATGGGGTGTGATACATGTATTTGGATACTTACCTTTGTAAACTTTCCTTCCTTTACCTATTGGGTCTTCAAAATCTTCTGCAGCCACAAATTGAATAAATAAAGTTAAATAAATGAATGATATCTGTAAAAGGTGAGTATACCATTTGATTACCTACATTTGTATCAATATCATGGGTAACGAATTAGGTTCGAAATCGTGGAGTTATGTTTGTCATGGTTCGATCGAGAACTCCTCGCTTTCAAAAGTTAAGAGTCGACAAAGTACCTGTTAGAATCCTTCTTGATGTGCCGTCTTTCGTTTGTTTAGGTTTTTAAAGTGTCTTTTGATGCCTTGCCATATTCATTCATAAAATTTCAAAACTTCGCCGTCATCTTGGCACTGATCATGAGACGTACGAAGGTTGCAATGACCGTTTTGCAATTTCATACGTGATTCGTAACCCATAGATATTAATAAATAAATAAGGGGAAATATATATACATAAAGAAAATGACAGAGCGATAACTGAAGTTAGGAAAAAAGAAAATGAAGTAATGTCATAAAACAATTTATAGTTGTAAAAACTGTCTCACCAGTGCCCTCAAAGTCTTCAACTTCATCTTCTGCGTTGTTCACTTCATTTTCAGATCCAGTCTCGTCATAATAAGGCCTAGTGCGGCGACGGCGACGTCTCAGGCAGACACAAACTCGTCGACGACAACTCTTGATGAAAAAACATTTTCGGAGACCGCGACAACGACGACGACGACGACGACCTAGAAGCGAAAATTCCATTAAAATGTGAATGTACCACCGACCTGACAAAAGCATCAGTGGTCAGGAATGTTTTATAGCTTTTATGAATGTAGACCGTTTTGTAGTATTCGAAAGTACAACCAATTTCACGAAACATCCCTTCGTGTTTTCAAGATTTTGGTATATTTCAAGATTTTATAAGTATCATTTCTGTACGGAATACTGGCGATCTCTTTTCCTAAACGAGCGCTAAAGGATGATAATCCCCATTTTTTTACTAAACAGAATGTTGGCCAGATGGTAACTTGGAAAGTGTTTTTATTATTAAAAACATACAAGAGAAATTGAGCTCTCTTGAAACATATTAATTATGAAAATATGACCGATTTCCGTAAAACGGTGGAAACCGGTGTGGATCCGCGCCTGGAATAAGATGAGTTGATATTAAGGGTGAGTGACGCCTCGAAAATAGTTCACCAAATTCGAGAGGAACCTCTGAAGGAATGACATCCATATCTTTCTAGGCACTGAATGCAATCTCCTACGGTCGTCTAAGAGGCTCAAATTTAAAGAGGGGTAGGAGAGGATGGGGTAGAAAAGAAGGAATCAGGGTAACAAGAACCAAAAATAAAATGCTGTTGATTTTTAATTTTTCTTTTTGTTTTCAGAATTTTTCGGTCTAGACTGACACTCACCTTTTCCAATTGGATCTTCAAGATCTATGGATTTTAAAAATTATAAATCAATAAATCAATATCAAGGTGATGAAAATGTGTTAACACTTTATCTTAAAGTTAAAATAAACAAAAGTGAAGAAAGATTTTCCTAACACATAAATTTCGTTCGAGCTTTCTTCAATATTTCTTCAGACTTTTTAGACTTCGTTCTTCAAGTAAAGATAAAGACATGTACATATTTATTATAATTATTATATTATTACTATTTATTTTTGTTTTACTTTTTTTTTTAAATAAAACACTAGTAGATTATCGCAACCTCGTTCCTTATTGTTTCAAAAATGCAACATCTCCGAGTGACTAACCGTTTTCTTCTTGCATTTCATCGCTGTCTTCATCTTCCCCGACATCGTCTTCCGCTATTTCAGTGTCCTCTTCATCTTCGACGTCCTCTCCGTCTAAAGTTTAATTTTTTTTTAGGTCAGAACTAGCGTTCAATATCGGTGTTTTTCTAAAATCGAAACTCTCACGCGAGGAGCTCAATTTATATTGTAAGAGATGGAAAGCTTTATTTATTTATTTTTTGCCCGTGTTTCGTCTTCCATACATTCGTACAGACTTTCCTAGAGGGGCAAAGGAACAAGGGGAGGGGTTTTCCGATAGACAACCTCATTTATGGTGCGATAATTTCATTTTAGTTTCCACATACTAGGTAATCTTGGTGTTTCACGCAACCTGACCGGCTCGCTATCTCGGGCTAATCAACAATATTAACCTCCTAGCGAGTGGATAATGTGTGAGCTTGGTGTTTGTCCAATATAATTTTTGTACAGAACGATCTTTCAAAAGTCGATCAAATCCTAAGGTTGATGTTTTCCCTCATGCAGCTTCTTAGACTTATGGTTAGGGTTTTAAGCTTAAGGTCTGTTCATCGATTTTGTAAGAAATTCATGTCAAAATATACATACCTGTGAGTTCCGGGCTCTGTACGTCTACGTTCATGCAAAAGATAAAAAAATAGTAATAATAATAATAATAATAAATAAAAAAAACTTGGTCAAGGGGAATCTCGCTCTGAGGTATGCACATATACATAGTTGGAGATGAAAACGAATTCTCAAAGGCTCGATGAAGACATAGAAAAAAACAAAATGATGATGATAACTATATCCGTTTACCATTGTCCGCTGCTTGTTGGAGTGCCGGTGCTTAAAAATGAATAAAAAAGGAGAAAATCAAAGTATGAATGGGAAAAAAAATCTTAACATTGATGCAAAATAAAATAAAATTTGTGAACGCGCTTTTCTTTGCGCGATAAATTGTTGTTGTTGCTTTTTTGTACTAATCATTGTGGATGCGATAAAAGTGCTATGATGAAACGGAGACAAAAACACTATTTTAAAAAGAGTTGATTTTGATTTACCTTCTACATCTGTCAGTTCATCTTGTGTAGAGAAGGCAACACAGGCCACGAGAAAGAAGGCTGCGAACAGGAAACACTTGACTTCCATTCTTGTGGGAGCAGATCAGAGACCTGAAGGTATGGGCAAAGGGGGTACTGGTGGCACATTTTATAGAGCACGTTAGCGGTTCTAATATCACATTTACAAAAGGGAAAAAGAACGCAAAAGCAGATACATCTCTTACGTAACGGAGGAAAACGTCATTTTGAGAAGAAAGCAACGTTCATCAAGTATATGGTTTCAAGAGCGATTGCTTTTAAAATTGTATAAAAAAAAAAACGAAATATGCAAAGAAAAAATACTGGGCTTATGTTGATTTATAAGTTAATAGATATGACATCATTGACATCTTTCAATCATAAAATAATGAAATAGTCACTTTTTAGGTGAAATGTTTTATTATTATTATTATTATTATTTTATTTTATTTTATCAACGACAACATAAATTATGTAACTTTCTTCATTGAGGTCAACACAACATTGTTTCCGGAAGTAGTCACCACAACAGCAGATAATCTGAATCATGATAATATCGATAATATTGGTCAATTTAATGTAATTTCTTTTAGTTATTCCAAGTAGCTCTATTGAATTTCAAATAAAAAATGGATGAAACTATTCTTGCAGAAAAACGTGATGTATACTAAGCATTTTGGATTTGTAACGGTCTAAATAAAAGAAGGAACTCTCGCTACTATCTTGGACTTGGAGTGAGAATTTGAAAAATAAAATATTATAAATGAAGTAAAAATTAAGAAGTGAATGCAACAGTTAAGGTTACTGCATCCAGATTCCTGCTGTATCATGCATCGACGGAAATTCAAAGCAAAGACAAGCAATATACAATTACAATATACAGTTATACACTTACAATTCATTTACAATATAAAATTATAATCCATAAATACTTTTCAAGGTCAATGAAAGGACTCATTGGCAAAAAAAAAAAAGTCGAGGTTCATATACTAAGCCATTGCGTTTAAAAGATCTCCGGGGACGTCCTTGCTATACATACACCAAAACTTTAATATACTCGATAAATTATAAAACGAAGGACAAAGATATTGTAAAAAACATGTTTTATGAGTTAAATGATTAATATTACTTTAATTGATCTAAAATGTCAATATTACAATCATTTTGTTAGTGCTAACTACGTCTTTTGAAATTTAAAAATCTTAAATGGGTTAATGCTATCGAAAACACAGTGACGAAACATAGAGCAATGATTCTTGCAAATCGCTGTGGCGCAGAGAAGCATTGCGTGATTTGCTTCTTTAATTGAATCAATTCTCTTCTTGTTAAAGTTATAACTTTGTTTCATGGAGAAAAGGATATTTCATCGTCATTATCGTTACAAATATAGTTCATAATAGTAAAGTTAAAGTACTTTGCTCAGTCATTGTCAAGTACTCTCCCACTCAACCTTTTTTTTTTTTTTGAAGGCGATTTTCAAGAGGCTTCGTCATGTTTCGCATATTAAAATAGGTTATTTTATTAAGGTTACCAAATCTTTTATGACATGGTCTCCAAAATTAAACAGAGCAACGAATTAACCCATTTCATCATTTAATTATGACCAACGCGCTGACGAAAAGAGACGTCATTACGATGACATATTGTTAAATTTGTGCTGGACATTTTTCTTGCACGAACGCGTGTTATATTGTGATTAGGCACGGAACAAGATTAGAGCCCTCTATTACAAATAATATGTTTTATTTTATTCCAAGCTTGCGAGTAGGCGGAATCCTCCAAATCCTACAATCTGATTGGCTCCGAGAGCGGGCAGTATTTTGCAATCTTGCGAGGTAACCTGGGCGGAATCGTTGGCAGCTTGACAAGTTTGACTGTTGTTTGTGACTCAGCAAAAACCGTCATTTTCAAACCATTTTTCTTTTAAAATTTGCGCTACATATCGCTATCATTGTATTATTCAGACAAAAAATCTGAAGGGAGAATCAATCAAGTCAGCGAGAAAAACCGTTAAAGTAAAGCAAAGCAGGTGGTTCAGGATGTCGCTTCACTAGCTTTATAACTGTGCTGTAAGTACTGCAATCTTGCTTTTATGCACCGTTTATTGGACAGTTTTGCTCCGCTTGAAGTTTTGTTTTCCATTTGTGCTGTAAAAATCTAGATTCCGCCGTTTTTCAGTGAATTTTGCCTTCCTAGTTTTCTACTTATCAGCAAACGTTGTTTTCAATGATTGCATTTAGCTTTCAATCTTAAATAAAGAGCACAAATCATTTTTCCAGCAGTTGGTTATCGCCGTTTTCATTTCTTTGTTTATAACTTGTTACTCATATCGCCTTCTTTTATTCGAATCCAATTCCAAACCTTCAAATTGGTATATGTGTAACTAGCTCTTTCTACAAAGCCTTTGTGCAGTTTTCATCCCACTCGATTAAACTAATCTTAAAGCAATTTTGGAATTATCAAGCCGAAGAAAATCCTTACTGTATTTTTTTTCCCTGGGACTTTTAATATCAAGCTCGTCAATTCTTTTATCCTTGTTTGACACTCAGATTACGAAATGTCTAGCAAGACACAAAAACCTTTCTTTATTCGACCTACGGCCTCGGGCGGTACTCAAGACCTCAGGCACAGTTTCTCAAAATACGGACCTCTTCAGTTATTGATATTAACTTTTCAAATTCTACTCTTCTGATATACTAGGACAACATGTAGTTTACGATCCTACTAGTTTAAGGGTAGAGGAATGTAGTACAGAAAATTATTTTAGCACAAATAAGCAAGGAAGGAGTTGCCTCTTGAAAAATTTTATGCTGAAGATCAGCCTGGAGCAGCGATTGAAAAAAATACATATTCGATTAGTTAGTCCAGAACTAGAACGAAAATCTTTTCATTGAATTGTGTTATGTTATCGGATATTTTCTGTGACTGGAATTTTCTCTTATGGTCCAGTTGTTATATTTGCACCTTTCTTGTAGTTTCTCCGTTACGACTGAAACTTTTTTCGAGTAAATAAACGGAAAAAATATATATATATATATATAATGTTTCTAGAGGGAAGGCCTTCCTGCAACCTTGGAAGAGTGAGGGACTTCAAAACCGCTATACGGTCATTAAATTTACACACGTCAGAATAATATACTCATCATTTTCCAAAATGAGAAAAAAAATGGAAGAACTGAGAACTGAGTGGCGCCAAATCACCCTAAACTAAATTACACAGTGTGATATAATCCTCATTTTCGACTTCTAGGAATATTTTGATTGACACAATAACGTAATATAACGTCATCATGACGTCATTATGTTTAATTTGTTGTAAAATTCAAATCCCTCAGAACACTCATAAAGCGAAGAAAACTTAAATAGTAAGGTTTCTGATTAAATAACGAAGTTGTTTAACACATAACCAATCTTTAAAAATTACATGATGATTTTATTTATTATTAAAAATAAACTGGAATCATCCACTTCGTTGGATTCACCATTTTGAATTATTCCAATGTATGCCATTAAAACCTACTTAAAACCCGTATAAATCTAGTTAATTCTATATAGGAAACTTTATCAGGATGCTTAGGAAGAAGAAAAAAAACTGCAAACCATGAAATTTCGAGAGATATGGACACTGATGGAAATTATCCCATTTGGTAATAAAAACTCTCGACTTTTGTTTGTTTGTTAGTTTTTTGTTTTGTTTTGTATTTCTAAAGCTAGTCGCTAAATTTAAAAAATAATTATTGTAGATTATGCTAAATTAAGTGTAATATAATAATTCAATCAGTAAGAATAAAAATAAAATCTATTTTTTAGGAAACATTCCAATTTTGAAAAACAAAAATTGGCTACCAAACCTGGGACGTCTCAAAAATGCCTTATTTGGCGTTTTATGGAGGACGTAAACAAGCAAAGACGAAATTTTATTTTTCTTTGTGAGCTTCCTTTACATTTGAAAAAGTAAGTGGGTAGGAATAATCGCTACATAGACTGAAAAAGTGAAATTCTCTTTTTAAGCGACATTTTCATTGCCGTTTTGTCGTTTGGTCTTTGAGTCCCTGGTTTCGCATAGTAGTTCAGGAGCATATGTAAGAAATATAGCTCCTGTGGGAAGTTCGAATTGAAAACAAGCAACTGGTCTAGAAGTATTAAGAAGATCTCACTGATAACAATAAAAATCTTGTTGCCAGTTTTGTAACCCGTACCGAGGCTTTTCAGGGGGGAGAGGTTAAAGAATTAACCTAACCGATTATGCATGAAAACGAGGTGGGGTAATAAAATGTCTCAAGACTTTACAAACTGTGGATAAAATGACACCAAAATAACAAGAGTTGTAAAACTTGATGTTGTCAGTTTTTTCCATAGCCAATGGCACACTTTACTAGTCACGTGGCGAAGCTAGCATGAAAACGAGGTTTAGACAGGAGCCCATAACTGGGAGCGTTCAACTGCCATAAATTCGTGCAACGGCGTTTTTACAAGTGAGTTTATTTTTAGATAAGCTTTTCCCGCGAAAAATAACTGTTCCACGAGGTCAATTCCTGCATTTGATCGTCGTTTACACTGTTAGTAGCTGGCTTGGACCTTTTCACAGTCGGCTATTTCGAAGATGATTTCTTTTTAATTGCCTTTGCGTGAATTATGCGTTGTCGTCGATGAAGTGGACGTCCTGGCTAGGTTTTGCAAATCTTCTTCTGAACTGCTAGTTTCCGTGTAAACACTGAATTGTCGTTTGAAGTACTGTCAGAAGACTCCTCTGAAGATTCCTCACGTGTGTCCGCTATGTTTTTTTTCAATGTGAAGGAGTTGTCCTAGTTACGTATTAAAAGTTTATCATTGATGACGCAATTGCTTGTGATTGGCTTTTCGAAAGCAATTCGCGGGAAAAGCTTATCTAAAAATAAACCTACTTGTGAAAACGCCGTTGCATAGGCGCAGTATGGAAGTTAGACGCTCCGGGTTATGGGCTCCTGGTTTAGAAATAAAACTTCGTATACCTTTATTAACTGCGGATAAAACGAACCCAAAATAACAGGAGACATACAACTCAATGCTTTTAGTGCTGGCCTAAGCCAA